TCCAACCCAAACCAGTCTGGAATTGTATGATTCTACTGCTGGAATTGCACAGTTTAAACTGAAGCTGCTCTCTACAGGGAAAACAGGAGGGGATCAAAGTGGAAAGGTGGTGACTCTCTCTGATCTCTTCAGAAGGAGTTGAATTCTGGCAGAGCCGAGGGATCCTGAGCTGATAAATCCCACGGTGAGAGGAGATGTGGGGGCTGTGGTGGAGGTTTCTGCTGACCTTGGGTGAGCTTCATCCCACCTTGTCCCACGTTTCCTCCTGCTCTGCCATGCAGGGAGGTGGATTTGCTGCTGTGCAGGGGAAGGGGACTGTGGATAAGGTGTTATCTCTGGCTCCTCCTCCGCGCCGCTGTTGCCAAAGTGTTTGGGCTGAGAACGTTCGTGTTGCCCCTTGTTTGTGCTGGGCTGGGTGATTCAACTCTGCCCTTCTGCTCCTTTGCATGGAACTGGGAGGAAAGGCCTTGGACCAGCTCGTGCTCTGGCTTTGGCAGACCCCTGCATTTCGGAGACCCACAGTGGCTGATGCAGCCCCTCTCATTCAACACTTCCATCTCTTCATGCTCATCTGCCTCCCAGGTCATCCCCTCCCCATCTGTGAGCTGGGACATGGGTGAATATGGATTTCCTAAGGAGAGGTGTGTGGTTGGGAGCTCAGGATTGGGAATGGGGCAGAGCCACTGTTGTCCACGGCAGTGGCAGCCTCGGCTCTGTTTTGCTGTTGGTCGATTGTACCCTGTAATTGTGGTTTCAAGGAGTGGGAGGTTCCCCTTGGTGCCAGTTCCCCTTAGGGCAGTTAATTAACAGCAGTGTGATGATCAATAGGGAGTTGGAATCCTGCCAGAGTAACCCAGCCTGGTGCTTTGCAGAGGGTGAAATAACAAATCATGGATGGGGGAGTGTGGGGAGCCCTGGGGGAGCACAGCACGTCCTCTGGCTTTGCAGGGGGGAGCCCAGGGCTGTACCAGACCTGGGTGGAGTTGTGGGACCTTCCTTTGTTTGGTAAACATTTCCCTGAGTGATTAGGGAAAATTCCATGGGCAGGGACACCTTCCCTTATCCCAGGTTGCTCCAAGCCCCATCCAACCTGGCCTTGGACACTTCCAGGGATGGGGCAGCCACAGCTTCTCTGGGCAACCTGTGCCAGGGCCTGCCCACCCTCCCAGGGAAGGATTTCTTCCCAATATCCCATCTATCCCTGCCCTCTGTCCCTGGGAAGCCATTTTCCCCTGTCCTGTCGTTCCAGGCCCTTGTCCAAAGCATCCCATGCCCAGCCTGCACTCCCTCCCACAGCCTGGATGTTCTGCCTGAGCCGTTCCCAGCACTTGTTGAGCAAATATGTTCCTGTTCTCAGGTGAAGGAAAATCCAAGACATCTCAAATCGCCTGAATGAAGCTGTAATAAAGGTGGAGTTTGTCTTCCCCAGCTCCCTGCCTGCTGCTGCCTGACAGGAGCTCTCTCTGGGGCATCAGAGCTGCCAGCTTTGCCCCTTGACTGCTGAGAGCTCCTCCCAGGCAGGAATGGCATGGAGGGTTTCAGCCCTGTTTAACCACTGGAGCTGCTGGAGGTTGGGTCAGAGCTCCATCCAGCCCAGGGAGCTGTTGCTGGAGCAGAGACACTGGATTTGAGGGGCTGAGTAATAACCCCTTGGTGAACCCACTCGCTCTGCCGGCTGCCCTGGGACCAACACCCACAGCAGGTTGGTCAGGGGCTGCTGGAGCAGATGGAGGCAAAGATCCTGCACAGGATGCTGACTCAGCATGGACTTGCCCCACCCATCCACCCACCAACCCCCATGGAATTCCCCAAAGTGGCTGAGCCACCTCCACTAATGCCAAAGATGGAAAATCATTAGACACCTTCCTTGTCCCTTTCCTTTCCTGGAACCTGTGAAAATCAGGCAGTAGTGGGGTCTGTGTCCTTTCTAAAGGGCTTTCTTCTGACTAGGGAATGAGATTGGGTGGTTTATCCAAGCTCCAGGGGGCCAGTTCTGCCTCGGTGGAGCAGCACACATGGAGTCCTTGGAGCCCGTGGGCTGCCTGGGGTTGTGTTGGGTGATGGTCATGGATTTTTTTTTTCTTTTTTAATATCTTCATTAGCAAGTCTGGCACTAAATGTAGTAGTGATATTCTCTGAGGTGAATTTGGGTACTTAAATATCCTGGCCTGAATAGAGGTATAAAAATAGAAGCCCTGCAGCATTTACGTGCGTCTGCTGCTCTTCCCTCTGAAGGACGAGGCTGGATCCCTCCCATCCTGCTGGGAAAGCAGGTTGTGTTTTACCCTCCCTCCTGGGGGCTCAGGCCTGGTTTCCATGCCCAAAGGATGGTTCCCAAGGGATTTGTGTCCTGTGCTCCAAACATGGAGGCTGTTCCTGATCTGCAAACACTCTGAGTGTCTCAGCCCGTGGGGTTTGATCTCACCCCTGTTTGACTCCCAGAGGACTCCTCAGCTGGTGGAACAAAAACCTGGGGATGTCCTCCTGCTGAGAAAGGGAAAGGGGCTGAAATCCCTTGTGGGGTGTGGATTGGGTGGCTTTTGCCCAGCTCTTTGCTGGGCTCCTGCTGGGGCGTTGCATGGCCTGGAAGATGCTCCAGATGGATGTTGTTGGCTGGTGTGCCTGGACCTCGGGTCTCCAGCTGGGCTGGGTGGTGGTGCACGAGTGGGAGGCCCTCATGGGGGGCTCAGATCCTTGAGTGTGTCCCAGGGACAGCCTGGGCATGTCCTGTGTGGGCTCTGCAGAGCCACCTGCCCATCCAGCAGGCACTGCCAGGCCAAAGGGGAAGGCCCAGGGTGGGGGTTCCTGCTGGTTCTCCCTGGTGCTGGTGGGTCCTGATGTCCAGGACCCCACCCTGCTCTCTCCTCCTGAGAGCCCCACAGACCTGTGTTTATCCTCCTCTATCTCCAGCATCAGCTCCTGGCACGATGCTCCAGTGACCTTGGCATGAACCTTGGCATCCTGGGGCTGAAACGCCACAACCCTGGCTGGAGTTGGAGCTGCAGCTCCCAATTCTCTTCAGATCTGGCTGCTCTGTTCTTCTCTGTTTTCTTTTTCTTTTTTTTTTCTTTTTTTCCTTTGGAGCGTTTCACAGGAGGCTCCTGCTGCTGCCCCGGCACTGCTGCTGGGGAGCAGTCGCTGTCAGCTCTAATCCAGCTCATTTTCCGATGGAGATAATTCCCAGCTGCCGCGGCACTGCTGGTGTAAAGCAGCCCGGCTGCCCTCGGGGCAGAGCCGGGCTCTCCAGCGCTCAGGGATGCTCCCATTCCTGGCTCAGTGCCATTCCCTGTGGCGCCGGGAGGTGTTTGCCCCGTGCTCTGGGGACAGGGGGCAGTGCCAGGGCAGCTGCACTGAGCCATTTCCACGGAGAACAGGAAAAACGGGGGCGTCCTTCCCCCAGCCCCTCCTCAGCCGATTGTTAGGAACCTCCTCCAGCATCTTCCTAAAGGCTGGGAGCTGCCACGAGAGGGCAGGAGCTGATGCTGCTGTTCCTAGTTTTGGTAGAAAAGGCTGTAGATAACAGTTCCTAAGGACTATCCCAATGATTTCCCTTTTTCTGGGAGGTTTGGTCCCCAAGCTGCTGTTTGGTCCATGTCCTTGGCTGTTTCCTTCCCAGGGTGAGAGCAGGAAAACCCCCATGGAGGGAGCACCGTCCAAAGCTTCTCCAGGCCAGGAGAGCAAAGGGAGCTGCTGCACAGCCCCCAAATATCTCCCAGCCTTCCTTCGCTTCCAGAGGGTCCCTCTCCGGTTTGTGATGGCCAAAGCCCCTCCTGTGTCAGGACACACGTTCTCAGTGAAGGTTCTTTTCCTGCCCCATCTCAAATTGGGAGGGTAATGCCCGATTTCAGCGCCTGGGAGAGATTTCAGAGCAGCAGAACAGGAGCTCCAGCAGCAGCTGAGAACCTCGTGCTGCCCCCTGTGCCACCCGGGGCTGGGAATTCCAGTCCGGGTTTGACCAGAAGGGAGAATGATTAACCAGGAAACGAGCAGGGTGTTAGAGCTGCCTGGAGGTGGGCGAGAGGAAATCACCTCTGCTGCAGCAAGGCTGGGGTTTACTGGGGGTTACTGGGTTCTTCCAACCTTTCAGGTTTTTGCTTTTTTTAGCTCTCTGCTTTTCACTGCTTTAACTTTTCCGAGGGTCCTGGCAGCTTGGCTGGGAAGGGGGAAGCTGGGGTGGGTCTGGTGGCTCTCAGTGGGGTTAAACATCCAACAGGATGCAGAGCTGTGTGTGAATAAATTTGGTGTGTCCTTGGTTGGTTTAACAGGTTCCTCGTGCCTGGGAGCTCTGAGGGGCAGTTTTGCTCCAGCTGGGATGGGGGCAGGTAACTGTGCTCAAGGGAAAAGGGATGTTTCAGCAGTAGGAGGTTCAGTGTTTTCCCCTGGAGTGTTCCAAACACAGATATTTATCCTGCTACTGCAGCCAACTGCTTCCCAAATACTTCTGAAAAGGAAACAAAATTCCTTTGGCCTCCTCTGAGCCAACAGGAAATATTTATTAATTCGGATTCCAACGTGACTCAGTTCAGAGATTACATGAGTTGCCAAAACAACTGGTGGAGAGGAGCTTTACTGGAAGTGTGGAGTCAACAAAAGCAAGACAGGAAAAATGTGAGAGATGAAAAATCACCCTCAACCAGGTTTGGAAAAGCCTTTGTCCCTCGTATCAAAGGTGCCTGTAAGAGCAGAGCTTGGATGATTTAGGGCACAAACAAAAGGCCTGAGCAGCAGAAAGACAAACAAATACATTTAGACAACTGGGTTTATTCAGCCTAAAAGAAGAGCTCAGAGGGGGATGCATTTCACTGGACTGTTTTTGCAAGGTGCAATAATTTCAGTTCCCCATTTGTACCACAACCCTCCCCTCCCCAAAATTACTAAAAAGAACTGGGTTTGCAATGATTTTTTAACCCCAGGAAAACTGCTACAACTGTGAACTTTCCATTTCATTATTTACATAATAAGTGTACAAAAGACTGTTATAAAAATACTTTGTCCCAGACTGTGAGACAGCCTGACACTGCTCCTAAAAATGCTAAGTATTATCTGATGGCATTAATTAACACAATACTTCAAACCTGTAACTTACTGAAAGGATTGTACTTGGTCAGTTATTCCAAAGCCTCGTGGGCTTGTGTTTCTTTTGGAATAATTCTCCCAGATTAATCAGCTCCCCCCAACCCTTTTCCTTAAAAAGCCACCAAGTGCTGAACTTCCCTGGGAGCCTTCTGAGCACCTGATGGCACAGGTCAGTACTTGTGGAGCCCTGGTGGCCCCAGGGAGGGGCTCTGCAGATCACTGGGGGTCACGTCGTAGCCCAGCTTCTTCAGGTCCTTGGTCATGACGTTGAAGGAAACGGTGACGAAGCCCTGGGATCTCACCCTCGTCACTGGAACAGAGATGACGTGAGCACAACCAGCCAAAGGAGGGCTCTGAACTCAGGATATCCAAGGAGGATTGTTCTCAGCCCTCCCAAAGATGGATGGCCGAGCTTCAGCCAGGACTGACCTTCTCGTCCCTCTCCCTGCGCCACAACTCTGGGGTCAGTGAATTCCGGGCGCCTCCCTGTGAGCCAGCTTGGAGAGAGAACACAGAAAACAAGGAACTGCAGGGTTTGGAAGAAAAAAAAAACAACCCCAAAACTAATTTCATGCCCATGATGGTTATTTCTGGGCTAGACAGAATCTTCCTGCGGCAAAGGAATTGTTGGAACTGATTCACTCTTGATCACCCAGAGAAACCAGACACTTTGAATACACAGAAAAATACACACAAATTAGTGAAGGGCCCACAAAAAGGGAATCTAAAGGAGAAGAAATCAGCTGAATCCTGGCAATATTGTGCAAGGGGAAAGCCTCAACATCCTCAGTTGCTGTGTACAGGCTGCTCCTGGAGGGATGTGTGTGTATGTGTGTGAACAAGATAAAGGTTACAGCAAATGCATTCCAGCTGGGAGAAAAAGCAGAATGGGAATTGTTTTTCCACCTTCTTTGCTTTCCAGGTTGCTCTTAATGTGGCTGTGCTTCAAAAAAATACCCTAAGAAGATTTAGGTAGTGGGTTCAGTACAGTAAACAGGTAGTTAACATGTTTTCAGGAAGCTTTTCAAAGTACCCAGATAGCTAAAAATGTGATTTTACCTGGCCATGGTACAGAATATTCAAGTTTGCACCGGTGATTTGCTGGACATGCCTTTGTGACTAAGGGCAAGTAGGACTTTAAAAACATAAAAGTCATTAATTATTACCTTGTAAACTGCTGCAGCCTCGAGGTGGACTCTGGAACAAACATAGCGATGGTTCTTCTGTGCCTGAAGCAAAAAAAGAGACCCAGAGAACTTCAGACAGGAAGCAAACAGCAAGAGTTTGTAAATTTATAAAGGCACCAGAATTTCAGACACATCAGAACACTGAACATCTCCAGGTGGGACACTTTTCCTTCCAAGGAGGAGAGGTTTATTTGCATAGGAACAGTGTATCTTCCTCCATTTCCAGAGGTGGGAATGAAAGCTTATTGAGCGCTGAGAGTGATGGGGGAGAGGCAATTTACTGTGCTTCATATTTGGGCTTTTTTACAGGCCAATTTTGGCTTTAGAGGTGTTCACAGGACCGACAAAATCTGTTTGGTGGCCAGGGACTCCTAGAAAATCCAAGCCCTTTGTACCAGAAGGCACAAGGAGGAGACATGGGAGCATTTTTGTTGCTGAAACAACAGAGTAGCTGGAACAAAAACCTGTTTGAGCCCCGAGGGACAGGCTGTCACTCACCTTCCAGGCGTGAAGGGCACGTGAACGGCTCCATAACCCCTGACCACGTCGTGCCCGAAGAAGTCGGGCCCGTAGACACTCAGCACAATCTGCGGCCCTGCAAGGAAGGAGGGGGTGAGAGGGGGGCTGGAAATCATCCCCCCCCTCCCCAAAAACACTCACAGCCAAAAGGGTTGGTGCTCTTGAAGGTGATGTCGATGGGGAGGTTCCACACGAGCGTGGTGGGTGAGACGTCGCTCTTGGAGGTGATCTGGGAGATTCCCTCCTCCAGGCCCTGCGGGGGGAGGGTGCAGTGAGCAGGGGGGGCCTGGCAGCCCCCAGGATGGGGGTTTGGGGGGCACAGAGGGGCCCTACCGCGGTGGGGACCCAGTCCTGGCCGTAGACGAAGCAGAACTTGCAGTAGAGATCGTCGAATCCAGGGAACTGTGGGAGACAGGGGGGTGTCAGTGGGGATTTGGGTCTGCCCAAGGAACACCGCTAAGGGCAGAGCTGAGGGCACGCTGGGTTTGGGAGGGGGCTGAGACTGGGCTTTGGGGGTGGTGATTTTAGGAGGTTTAGGGGGTGCTGAGGCTGAGTTGGGTTTGGGGGGGCTGAGCCTGGGCTTTGAGGGTGCTGATTTTAGGGGGTTTAGGGGTGCTGAGGCTGGGTTGGGTTTGTGGGGGCTGAGGCCGGGCTGATTCTCCAGGGGTGGAAGCCTTGCTGGGTTCAGGGGCCGAGATTGGGTTGGTCAGGGGGATTTAGGAGTGGCCGGGTTTGAGGAGCTGAGGCCGGGTAAACTTTGAGGGGCTAAGACCGCGCCGAGTTAGGGTGGGGTCGGGGCGCTGAGAACAGGCTGCGCTGGGGAGGTGGCTGAAGCCGGGCAGGGTCCGGGCTCGGTCTATCCCGCCGGGCGGACACGGGACCGAGGACTTGGGGCCGCGCTGCCGGTCCCGGTCCCGCATCCCGGGGGTGTCCGGGGGTGTCTCCCTCACCTGCCCGCTCTCGATCTCGCCGCTCACGGCCAGCAGGAACACGCTGGGCGCCGCCATGCCGGCCGCGCCCGTTGCCATGGGGACGGACGGGGCGGCGCGGGGGACACGATTCCTCCGCGCCCCGCTTCGCTTCGCGGGGCTCCCGCTCCTCAAAACCGCCCCAAAACCGCCCCCAAACCACCCCAAACGCGGCCAGACCGTCCCCGTCACCCTCGGGACAGCCCTGTGTCACCAGGGACAGTCCCGCTGCCCTCAGCACGGCTGGCCCGCGGCCTCCCGTCCCTTGGGCTCCCCTCCGCCCGCTCCCGCTTTGTCCTCGCACCGCCCCGCATTTGGAATCTCTGGCGTTATTCTTTATCTAATATCAACGCCTGTTGATTTTTTTTTTTTTATTTAATATCAATGTCTGTATCAACGCCAGCCTTCCCAGCAGCTGGTCCCAAGCCTGTCAGGGTCCAAGGAGTGCTTGGACAACGCTCTCGGGCACGTGGTGGGATTTTGGGGTGTCCTGTGCAGGACCAGGAGTTGGACTCGATGATCCCTGTGGGTCCCTTCCAGCTCAGGGCATTCCTGATTCCGTGGTGTGGAGGCCATGGCCACTAGATGATGCTGCCGGCCGAGTCCAAGCAGCTCCGGCTCCTGGGCGAGGGCCAGAGCCACGAGGTGTTTCCAGGGAGGAAAAGTGGGAATAGTGATGAATTTTGCGGCCTCCATAGGGTTACCCTGCAAGCCAAGCTGATGAGGAGAGGGGGAGGCCAGTGGGGCTGTTGGTGTCCACAGCACAGTGATTATTCCTCATGGATATGAGGATAAACACCTCGGGAACGCCGGGGTCTGGATGTGGCTGCCACGCCGTGGGAGGGAAGGGGAGGAAAGGGGACGGTGTTGGTTTACTGAGAACGCACTAATTAAAAGGAAAGGGGGTGAGTCTGGTGTGTAAACAGGGTGGATGAATGCGCCGAGGCTTTGCAGAGCTGGAACCGCCGGAATGTGCTGCCCAGGACTTGTTGTTTCCCTGGAGGGACCACAACGTGACGGTGCTGGGCTGGTGACACGATGGTGTTGGCTTGGTGATGTGACAGTGCTGGCCTGGTGATGTGACAGTGCTGGCCTGGTGATGTGACAGTGCTGGCCCGTCGGGCCCACGGTCGTGCCACGGCTCCTGCCAGGAATCTTTGCTGCCCACGCGCCGTGGAGACTCACCCGCCCGGCCACCATCTGCCACCAGTCATCCCTTCGCCTCCTTCCTCCGTCCCACACCGTGTTCCCCTCGCTGTGAGGAATTTGTGGGGCATTTCTCTGCTGCCAGACCCTCCGGGGAAGGATGGGAGGAAGGAAGGAAGCCCTGGCTTGGCACCTGTTTGAGTTTCGAGTTGTAGCCAGTCTGGAGCCCTTTCACAGACGGGCTGAGCAGAGATTTATGGCCTCACTCCTTGTCCTCATCCCACTGTCTCCTTTTTCCCTCCCTTTGGCATCCTGGTGGAGGCTTCCTGAAGTGCCACACCATAGGCTGTTCACTTGAGGTCTTTCCCTAAGGAAAGGCACCAAGACACCCTTTTCTGCTGGAAGGGATGGTGTGTATAAATACTGATGGCCCTGCCCGTGGCAGTGGGTGAACGAGATGGTTTTTAAGGTCCCTTCCAATCCAAAACACTCTGGGATTCTATATTGGTTTGAAAGTAAACTACCATTACATTTCAAGTTGAAAAATACCTTCCTTGTTCCAATAAATGTGTTGTCTGTCAGTGTTTATTTCAACCTGATTTTTCAGGCCAAACAAATTCGGCCAAGAGAAGAATGGGAGAGAAAATCAAGAGGGATGGGATGGAATGTCTGAAACTTTATCCTTTCTCCCCTGCCCTTCAGAAATGCTTCAGAGAAAATAATTCATTTGGACTGAAAATTGTCAAGAGGGGGAAATAAAGCAGTTTTGGAGCAGCTGTCTGGAGCAGTTAGTGAGGCTGTTTAATTAACACTGCACTTGGCTACCAGCTACCTTGGAGCTTGCTAAGAGCCAATTTAAGGAATTTTTTTTGTTGCCTGGCAAGTGATATACAGGTGCTGGAGGAGTGCTATCAGCACTGGTAGACTATCCCCATGGCAGAGAGACAGCAGGAGGCTTTTTCAGCAGCCATGAGTCATCTGTACCTGCCTCTGGAAGGGCTCTGTCCCCTCCCAGCCATAAGAAGACCTTTTAGTCTTTCCAGCCTTGTTCTAATTGGCTGCACTTTTAATCTTGGGGAGCAGAACGAAATCCCAAGCAAGGAAGTGTTTTTATCCTGCTGGAAAACTTAATTAACGATCCATCAGAGAGTTTGGATTCCAAGCACAGTGAAAGCTTGTGGATCATGGCAAATCCACAGGTGTTATTTAATGATGTTACTCTTTCTCTTGGCCACGTAAAACAGTCACCTCTTCTCCTGGACTTGTCCCGAGTCCTGGGATTTGTGATGGGACTTCAGTGTAATTGCAGCAGCAGCAGCAGCAGATCCCTGTGCTGCAGGGAGGTAGCAGGAAGCAGGTACTTTGTCTCCCTTACCTGTTCAAGTGTGCTTACAGCAGCCTGGGGGCTGATCCATCGCTGCCAACAGGCGCTGGGGGAAGGTGGGGGAGACGCAAACAACGATACGGTGGCACGGCAAACAAAAGTTTATTTTTAACCCCAGATATTTACGATCAACACCTGCTCTAAATGGCCAGCGAAATACATTTTATGGTATCATTTATCTGCAATAAACGGGTTTTATTTTTAGACTGTTTGCACAGCGTTGACTCATCCCTGCCTGTGCCTTCTCCCCACGAGGAGGCTGCAGGGGAGCTTCCCTGCCCTTTGTCTTCCCTGCCTTTTGCTCCTGCTCTCAGAGCTTTTCCTTCTTGCTGCTCAGATATTCCAGGAAGGGGATATTCCTGCTGTAATTCTTGCTGAATACATTTGCCTGGAGATTTAGTTTGGTGGGAAGGTACCTGGGTGAAGACAGGTGTGTTACGTGTCTAAATCATTTTAGGTTTGGGCTGGGAGGGACTTAAAGCTCCTCTCATTTCATCCCCTGCCATGGGCAGGGACGCCTTCCACCAGACCAGGTTGCTCCAAACCTCATCCAACCTGGCCTTGAGCAGTTCCAGGGAAGGTCCAGCTCTGCCCTCCCTGTGCCAGGCAGGGCCCTGCTGGGTACGGGAGATGTCACTGCCAAGGAGCTGAGAAGCGCCCGGTTCTTCCACGAAGAATTAATTAATTTGACTGGAACTTGTTATCATTGGTGAGATTTTTATTTTGGTTAACGAGCAGAATTAATTAGTGGCTTGGTCTGAGCCAGTCAGAACAAACTGACAAGCAGGCAGGAAGGGGAAAGAGGATGAGGAGGGCCCGAGGAGCTGGTTCCCAGCAGGGTCCTTGGATTTGATAAGGGCACAAGGAATAACCAAGCCCTGGGGAAAAGAGGGGAAGGGGCATGAAGTCATCCTGCTTCTCAGCTGCCCACTCTGGTGGTGACTGCATTTTTTGGGGGTAACTCAGGTGGGAGAGCTGTTCTCTGTGCATCTGACAAACCTCGGGGACGCCTCCCTGGGCCCTCGGCAGCTTGTTCCTCTGCGTGGGGCAAAGTGGAAGCAACAACAAGCTGCTCCAGGGGATTTCAGTCAAATGCTCAAATAATTAATCTGGTTTCTTCCCTGTGGTGTGACAAAATGAGAGTTGTTGGCATTTTCTCCCTTTCATCATTAACAGATTTATTTTTCGCTGGATAGTCCAGTGGCCACAGCTGGAAAAAACCACCCAACTCTGACGTACAAGTGAGTGACACAAGTCCTGGCATGAGGGACAGCCTAAGGTGGGGATGAAACCCTCCTGGTGACATCTCTGTGTGCATCAGTGTCAAACCAGGGCATCATGGAATAGAATCTCGAGGAGGAAGTGACCTACAAGGATCATCAAGTGGTGCCAAAACCCGTGGAGTGCATCAGTGCCACTGCACATCCCTCATTCCAGAGAAACCTCCCTGAACCTTCCCAGCCTCCAGAGGGGAGCTGACCCCATGGAAAGGGCTAAAACCCCTGGTGGGAGAGGCAGAGCTGCCTCTGGCAACACCATTTTGCTGGAAGAGGACGGAGCACCCACCTGGAGCGAGCTGGAGATATTCCAGGGGCACAGCGGGGTTCCAGCAGAGACATGTTGAGCTGCTTAAAACCAAGGAGTGACAAAGATCTCCCCTCAGCCCACGCTGTGGCTCTGTCAGGCTGTGCTAAAATTCCTAATTAAGTCCCCTTGTCTGGAAGACGAGCGGCCCCAGCCGTTAAAACACAGCCACAGTCTTGAAAGCTTAAAAGGGGAAGTTTAATGGATAAAGTCAATTTAATTATTCATCCTAAGAAAGCTTGTACAAATATCAAATGCTGATTAGCATTCATGCAACCTGTCTGATCTCTCAGCACGGACAGATTAAGGGTTGGGGCTAATTTGGAGTCACATTTGCTGGTTGGTGATTTTTAAGGCTTTTTCTCTTTTTTTTTTTTTTTTCTCCCCAGCACAACAAAGAGAATTTCAGATCGACATTTACCCTTGAAGCAGAGCCCCTGTGAAGGCTCTTTGTGATGGTTTCCTCTGCCCCTTCCTCAACGTGGTGGTTTTTAATCCCTGTTTGATCCCCAGTCCCTGAGGCGGCTCCGAGCAAGCCCAGACGGACTCAGAGCCCGTCCCCATGGGCCGTGGGTTTGCAGGAATGGAGAGTGGGGGAGGGCAGAGTCTGGCTGATAAATGGACATGACTAAATCATCATTAAAAATGCAAAATAGGCATCGATCCAATTAAATAATCATGACTTGCATTTGCCCGGTGCTTTTCGCTTCCGATCTTAAGCAAGGCTTGCAGAGAGCCCAGGGAGGGGGAAATTGCTTAATGCTGCCGAGATTTAATCAGCAGGAAAATTAACTCTGGACGATGTTAAATGGGTTCTCTGTGCTGGTCATGGCCAGGTCTGGGCTGAGGATGCAGCTCTGGGGGGTTTTGCACCTGGATGTCCAGGTGAGTGTCCCCAAAAAGAGATGCCAGGGAGCATTTCACGGTCACTGCCTGCTCTCTTGGTTCTCCCCACACTACCAGAATGTTTCTGCAGGCTCGTGGATGGAGTAGTTTTGGGTCCTGCCGGGCTCTGTGGGCTTTGGGAATGTGTGGTTTTGTCAGAAGGCACAGGACTTGGTGTGAGCCTGGGCAGAGCCAGGACAGTGGCCACAGGAGGGGATATCCCAACTCATTCCTGACACGCTGCCGTGGCCTCAAGCCCTTCCAACTCGGTCTACAACCACCTCTCTATCATCAAGATCAGCCACCAGCCCCGTGGTGAGAGGCTTTTCCTCCAGCTCTGTGGCAGCACGAAGGGAATTCAGGCACTGGGGACATTTTCTTTCCCAGCAAAGCTAAATAATCAATCCCAGCAAGAAATAACACCCTGAGTGTCTCGATGAAACGGGGCATCCCATGCACCTCCAGGCAGGATTCAGGGGGATTCACCTTCCCTCCTTCCTCTCTGCTCCTTAAACTGCAACAAAAGGAGTTTCCCACCATCCCCAAAGCACTGTTAAATAATGACTTTTATGGCTCTTTCCTGGAATTCCTCACTATCCCACTGAGACAGAATCACTATTTACAATAATCCTAAATGACTCTTAATTACAGCGGCGCAGGTGCTCGGAGGCACCGGCACAAGGCTGGATGAACAGATGGAGGCTCCGGTGCGAGCTGAGGGATCCTCCGAGCGGGAGGTGGGAGCAGCCCCAAACGCCAGCGGGGATGGTCCAGGTTGGAATCCGCAGCCCCAGCGGCCACGTCGAGGCAAGAGGTTTTCGGGAATGCCGAGCTCTGGGAGCAGGGCGGGCACCTCGGGCATCCCTGCGGCACAAAGTCAGGCCACGCTTCCAGTTTATACAGTTTAATACATGTGAAACAAGATACATTTCCTTTTGAGTAATGAATGCATAAATAACAGAAGATATATGTGAATGCATAAATATGAGGCGGCATGGAACGAACCAAACGAGAACCACTGCTTCCATTTACCACCCCCCTGCACGTCTGAGTGCTGACCCGCTGGCACATCCTCGCCACGGACTCGTTCCTGCTCCTCCTTCCCATCAGCTGCCCACGGCAAAGCTGTGCCACGGGGAGAGGGCCTGGATGAGGGGTGGGGAAGGGACCGGAGGCTAAGAAAGAAAAATCAACCCCAAAAAACTGCAAAGAAACCCCCAAGTGGTGTTAACAGGCGACCTGGATTCCTCTGAAGGGCTTCTCGGTCGGTGCCGGAAGGGCCTTGGGAAGGGGATGTGTCTGGGTGTGGGGGCAGGGATGTGGAGGGAAGACCAACAAGGAGTGCAAACAGAGGGGGTCAGGGCTGCCCCCAGGGTTTGGTTGAAGTTGTTCTGCCACAAGGACAAATCATCACCTTAAATGCTCACAAAGAACTCACCTAAGACAGCTCTTTACACCTTTACATACTGTATCAATAATTTACTTAGATACTGCAGTAAACAAAATACATTTCTTAAATAATTTACTATTTATTTGTGTTTTTCTTTTTTTTTAAATCACTCTGTAAATTCAACTTCTTTTGGTTTTTTTTTTCATAGTTTTTTTTTCCTTTGCAACACAAGAAACCGTGTCTGTGCACGTTAGTTCGGATTATTGCGACGTTTAACCTGAATTTCAGTTAAAAAAAAAAAAAAGGGGTTGAAAAAAAAGCAACAGGACAGTTGGACACACGAGAAGAATGAATAACTTATTATTGCACTGGCTACAATTCAGTAGTGATTTGGTTTTTCTTTTTGTCTGTAGTTAGGACAACCTCTAAAGTACAAATGGAAAATGAGCGAGAGGTCGATAGGCATCAGCTGTGAGAAGAAGCCGGTGGGATGATGGTGGAGGGGAGGAGAGGAAAGGGAGGGAAGCGAAGAAAGAGGAGAAACATTTGGAAAATGAATGACCGGAATAATCAATTCCACAGAAAACCCAAGGAAACATCACCCAGTTGCGGAGTCACATGTAATGCAAAAAAAACCAGTATCTCTGTTTCTCTATAAAAATATGTGCATTATGAAGACAGAGTTTTTGTGGGTCTATTTGGTTTTTTTTTTGTCTTTTTGTTTGGCCCCCCCCCCCCCTTGTTTTGTATCTCACAAATACATAATTTCTATTTATATAACTGCTGATATACAGATGATGTACAGCTCCCACCTCCCGGGCACTCCCCCGCGTAACGTGACAGCTCCAAAAGGTGCCTCGGTAAAAGTCGAGCATCTTTTAAAAAAAAACAAAAACAAAAACAAAACAAAACAACAAACCCAACAAAACAACAAAACCCCAAGAGAATCCCCCAAATCCCAACGGCCGCCACCCCGGACCCGAATCAATGTGATCGAGGCCGCGGAGTGGGGGCGGGAGGGACGAAGCGACCCCTCCCTGCAGCGTTTCCAGCTTCCCTCGAGAGGAGGAACCCCCAAACCTCTTTGCAAATCCGCTCCCCCCTCCCCAAAACCTGACCCCGTCTCGTCCAGCCGTTTTGTTTGGTTTCTCTTTTCATTTTTCTCACTCTGTGTGTGTGTGTGTGGGTTTTTTTTGCAAACTTCCCAACCAGTGACTGCGCCAGAGAGGGAAAACCCCTCCGAGCAGCCACCCGCGACCCCGCGGCCGCTCGGTCCCCACTGTGGAACCCCACGTTGGTGTCAAGCCCTTGAGACCCCCCCTTTCCCCCCTCCCAGACAGCTATACTGGGTCATCCACGTCTTCTTCTGTGGCAACAGTCACGGGGGCCAAGTCCTGCTTCCGGAGGGGGCTCTTGGCGATGCCCAGCAGCTCTTTGCTTTTCTCGCCGTTGCTCCGCTGAGTCTTTAAGTGATCCGGCTTTTTCAGTTCGGGCTCCGGCCGCGAGTCCGGCGTGGACTGCCCGCTGTCCAGGAGATCCGAGAGGTTGCTCAGGGAGCCGCCGTCCAACTGCTCGAAGGAGAAGTTGGGGATGGTGAGGAGCTCCCCCCGGCACTGGGGCTGGGCCCGGCGCTCCGCTTTGGAGCCCGGCTCCCCGGGCTGGCTCTCCGCCAGCTCCAGGGATTCTCTGTAGGCCGGGAACTCGCAGGACGGGGTCCTTCTCCTCAGCATGCTGTTCTCGGAGGGCTTGGCGCGCGGGGCCGCCCCGCCGTCGTCCTCCATGGGAGGATCTATAGAAATGCAGGGCGGGCTCATCTTCTTCTTCCTCCGGGCGCCGTGGATGTAGTCGGACTCCGCCGGGATGTGGGCAGGGGGCCGCTGCTTCTCCTCGGCGGGGTCCTGGAAGCCGCAGTGCCGGTCGCCGAGGGAGGGGCAGATCTCGATGGAGTGCCGCCGCTGCTCGTCGGCCCAGCTGGGCTTGCTGAGGAAGCCCTTGGTGTCGGTGCTGTAGAACTTCTTCAAGTCCTTCTCCCTGCGGCCGCCGGAGAGGCTGCTCGTGCTGCAGTTCTTGAGGGGCACCGGGGACGGGGCCGGGGAGATGAAGGGCGAGGCGGAGCGGCTCCCGGGCTCCGAGTGCTCCTGCGCCCAGTCTTTGGCCGAGCTGTTGATGTGCCGAACCTCCTCGTCCGCCAGGTCGGAGGGCTCTCCGGGGCAGCCCTCGGGGCCGGTGGGGCTGGGCGGCCGGCTGGGCAGCTTGCGGGGCAGGGGGCTGGGGGGGCGGTGCGGGGAGCACGGAGGGGTGGCCGGCAGGGAGGCGGCTGTGGAGGGCAGGGGGCCGGGGCTGAGGGTGCTCTGGGGCTGCTTTGCTGAGGGCGGTGTCTCCCCAGGCTCTGCTTGCAGGCTGTCCTTGCGGCCCGCAGGCTGTCCGTCCACCGAGTCCGTTCGAAGGGCCTCCTGGAAGGGGAGGAGAGAGTGGGGAGAGAGCCTGGAGACCTGCTGGGGCAGCAGCACTTCCAGGGGTGAAAACATGGAATCGTGGAATCCCAGAACGGTTTGGGTCGGAAGGGACCTTCAAGATCATCTCGTTCCATCCCCTCCCATGGGCAGGGACACCTCCCGCTAGCCCAGGTTGCTCCAAGCCCTGTCCAGCCTGGCCTTGGACGTTCCCAGGGATGGGGAGTCCATGACCAGTTGGCTGGTCTAACACACCCCGTACCACCCCACTGTACCAACCCCATCAGAGGATAAACCTTTCCTGGCACGGCCCTACACGAACAGGGCTGGGATCTGCTGGGCCTTGGCCTTGCTCTAACCCCAAATCCTGAGTCAGCACAACCCAGCACAGTGACCCCGTGTCGGGATGCCTGGAGGCTTCTCACAGCACTGGAAAATGGGGAATGGGGCACCTTCTCCCCATGCTTTAGCCCTTCCTTCCTGGAATAGCACATCCATGGAGATCAAAGTAGGTAAAAGGGGCCTTCCCCTGCGTGACACTCGCCAAGACCGGAGTACATTAAAACTCATGGCACAGAAACGCTTTGTTCTAAAACGAGAATTCTACTCTTAGCTCCAAGAGAAGAAACCAAGAAAAGAGGGAAAGGAGATGGGTGACTACAAAGGATTTACCTCTGCAGGCTCTTGGCCTCTCACCTGCCTGCACAGCAGCTTGCTGAGGACAGGAGATCGAGGAGTGACGTTGGGGGGAAGGACCTTCCAGCGGTGCCGGCCCTCGTGGCTGGGGGAGCAGACAGACAGCTGCAGGGGCTCTGCTGGCACCCTCAGGGAGGAGCACGTGCCCACGGGCTGGGAGCGGATGGAGGTGATGGATCCTGGGACAGAGAGAGAGAGAGAAAGAGAGCAGTCACTGCTTGGGCGGTGGATGGAAAGGTCTGAGGCAGAACTGGGGCCCACAGGCTCCAGGAGGGAAAAGGAAAAGCCTGCTGGGCCTGGCTGACATCCCAAACCTCAGCATAAGCCTTGGGCAGTGCCAGGATTACAAACCAGGTGTCCCTTGTCCTGCCTCCTGCTCTGAACGCTCAGGGATGGCAGGAGGTTGCATGTGGAGTCTGTGCCATCCAGCAGCATTCCATGGGGTTCTGCCTGCTCTGGGATATCCTGTTACAAACATTACCCTCACGGCCTCTCTTTTCTGTTTCAGGTAGCAGGAACCTCCTCCTGCAGCTGCCACGGCACTCAGGGTGTCCACCAGGACCACGTGGCAGCAAAGGAAAAGCAAGAAGTGGGGCTGCATTTGGAACCCTGACATTGCTGCTTTCCTGGTGGCACTGATTGACAGTGATCCATCTGTTTGGAGAGCACGGATTTGGGAGGTCTGGTGGCTCTGTCGGATAGTCAGGACACCCGGGTTGTCCCTGCAGCACTGCCAGGGATGGGCTTCAACCTCACACTGCTCTGCCATGTGGAGACATGAGCAGCACTTCCCACCTACAGCCCTGGAGAGCCAGTGGGAGCCCTGCCATGGCATGAGGGGCAGCACTGATCCCTTCTCTCTGTGACCAGGGACAGGACCTGAGGGAACAGCTGGAGCTGTGTCAGGGCAGGTTTAGGTTGGATATTAGGGAAAGGTTCTTCCCCCACAGGGTAGTCAGGCACTGAACAGGCTCCCCAGGGCAGTGTCCAGGGGCTGGACTGGGTGATCCTTGTGGATTCCAACTCAGGGTATTCTAAGATTCTATGACTTTTCTGGGAGCAGACACCCCTGCAGGCACAGGGCACCATTCCCATTCACCACAGCCCAACCACCACCAGCCCAGGGGGCACAGCCTGGCTCAACACGGGCTGATCAGCAACTTGGAACCTGCTCCAAGTGCTCTGACAATCCCTGAGCTCGTGCAGCAGGCTGGGATCACTCTCTTCCTGATGGCTCCCAGTCCCCTGGCTGGGTCTGAAGGCAATCCCTCCTCCCCAGCCCCTTTGTGGTGCTGCTTTACTGCATTTCTGGGCTGTTTGAAAGATCTCCTGCTTTTCTGGGGTTTTGGCTGCGGGATTTATTGTCCTCATTAGCTTGAAACCCGACGTTTGTTCCTCCATTGCTGCTCCACGTTAAAAACACAGTTATCCATCACTTCAAGAGATCTCACCCAGAGGTCGAGAAACTTGAACCTCTGACAGAAAACATCCAGACACATCTCAGTTGCATTTCACAGAGAGATTTGTTGTCGGGGAGAAAGAAAAGTTAGTGTTTCATCATTTTTTTCTTTTGGAGCTTTACTCCAGAACTCCACAGAAGGAGCAGAGCAACGAAATTCCCACCCCACTTCTCCCTCCTTCTTTTTTGGGCTCCCCTAGACCCAGAATTTCAGGCTGAGTCCGTGCTGTTCATCTGCCACTCCAGGCTTTATAAACTGCTTTTTATGATGCAGAAAAACTATGTCATAAAATCTGTCACAAACACGGCCATAAAACCCAAACCCGCTGTTCTCCTCCCTGTCCTCAGCTGGAATTTCCTCCTGCTGGAAGCTTTCCATCTGAGCTCTCATACAGGAAACCAAGACCCCTCTAAACTGCAGGCTCAGGAACACCAAAGATCTCTGGAGCTGGATATTTTTTTCTAGGAAACCAGGAAACTGTATCTAAAACCAAAATATCACAAAATCTGGTCATCTCCCAGTATGCTCACTGTGTGGTCAGTGGAGTACTGGGAGATGGTGAGATCCTGAACTGACCTGGGAAGGCCATGGAAGCACAAATGTTAATGGGAGTCTCCATGGGCTCAGTTTTACTTGCACATAATTTATGGGACTATGACTTGAAGAAGAATTTGGGGAGTTCAGGAGCAGCAAAGCCTGGGGTGATGCTGGTTGGAAGCATCTACCACCAGGTAAGAAGTCACAGCCCTGTCCTATCCCTCGCTCAAGTGCTCTTGGAGAGAAACTGGGGAAACATCAGATTTTTTGGTCACTTCTACCCACCCCTGCCAACACTGCAGCAGTTTTATATGGGTATAAATCCTGCTTTACACCCACTCCAGAGACGAAAACCAGCCCCAGGAGCCCAGCCATGAAACTCAACCTCTGTTTCCTTTCCTTAGCAAAGAATCTGCAGGTGAAATAATAAATAAATACCGAGCAGAGAACACGAACCGGTGTGCCCAGAGAGTTTGAACAAACAGTTATTTAACCCAAGGAAATCAGAGCAGATCAGAGCCTGCAAACCCACCACTCATCCCTCTGAGCAGCTCCTGCATTTCAAACCACGCTGGATCAAAGGAGCTGGGGCTGCTCAGAGTTCTTGGGAGCCACTCCAGGAGCACGTGTGCTTTTAGGGAGGCAGATATTGTGTTTCCTATCGATTTCCCCTCCAAACCAGCTCCCACAGCAAAGGAGATAGAGAGGCACTTTCAGGGAAATGCACTTGGATGCAGTGCTGGTCCAACTCCCTCAAAGGCTCCGTGCAGCTCGTGATTCCTGGGGGGTGGGGGCTCTCCGTGAGATTCATTAGAAGGCCAGGCTAGGGAAGCACTGGAGAGTGGCTTCTAAGCCTTATACTAATCCCAAATAAACTCCTGCAGCTCTGAACTTGATGTAGGGTCTTAAAAGACACTGCCCTGAGGCTGCAGAGTGCCTGGAACGATGGATGCGAGGGGCTCTGGCCGGAAGCAATTCCGACTCCGGCTTTTATCCGGGTTGATGTTATTGATCCCTGGGATCACTTCAGAAGGAATGTGCAGCTCATTCCCTTTTCCTCAGCTAACAGCCTGTCCTCTGTGCCTCAGGCATTGATTGGGAGCCCCACTTCTCCCCAGACATCCCTCCCATCAGCTTTCTCCTGGGAAAATACAGGGATGTGACAAAAACATGGAATTATGGGAAACCACCGTCATGCTGATGCTCATCAAATCAATCAAGCCCTGCTCAGGCCACCTTCAGCATGGGCTGGTTGCTCCCCACACAACCACCACACACATACCTGCTGCCCCATGGCTGGAATCATGGAATCATTTAGGCTGGGAAAGAGCACTGAGTCCAACAATTAACCCAGCACTGCCAAGGCCACCACTAAACCATGTCCCCAGGTGCCACATCCACGTGTTTTTTGAACACTCCCAGGGATGGGGACTCCATCACTGCCCTGGGCAGACTGTTCCAATGCTTGACCATGCTCTTGGTGAAGAAATTTTCCCTAATATCCAACCTCAACCTCCCCTGGCACAACCTGAGGCCATTTCCTCTCCTCCTGTCCCTTGTTCCCTGAGAGCAGAGCCCAACCACCCCCCCACCCCTGGCTCCCCTCTCCTCTCAGGGAGTTGCAGAGCCAGAAGGTCCCCCCTGAGCCTCCTTTTCTCCAGGCTGAGTCCCCCCAGCTGCTCCTGCTGCTCCAGCCCCTTCCCCAGCTCCATTCCCTTCCCTGGTCACACTCTCCAGCCCCTCAGTGTCTTTCTTGTCCTGAGGAGCCCAGAACTGGCCACAGGATTTGAGGTGTGCCCAGCACACCCCAATCACTTCCCTCATCCTGGTTTTGTCCAGGAGGGGAAATCTCCACAAGCAGTACCTCTTTGGGCTTTGCAGGGATAGGTTTCCATCTCCACCTCGTGAAGGGGGAAGGGGGCTTTCGCCGGCATCACGGGCCGGAACATGTAGCTGTCGTTGGGCAGGGAATGCATCCGGGACACGGAGATCTTGCGGACTGTCAGCAGGTTCTGGGAGTCCTGGGGCCTCAGAGAGGCTGAGCTGCCCTGCAAGGACACAGAGAAACGGGGTCATCTACAGCGAACTCCTTCCCATCTGCTCTGTGGTTCAGAACCTCCTGCAGATGTTCCTCTTGGGGTGTCGCCCACAGTGGGCAGCCCTGGTGGCCAGCAGGACACCAAGGGTACACCGTGCCGAGCTGGGGTCGAGTGAGGCATCAGTGACCTTCCACTAAGTCAACTTTTGGACTACACAGGGAAAAAGCAAAGCCCATCCACTCAACACCTGAGAAAACCAGTGCTTATCACCCTGTTCTGCTCTGACATTCCCAGGGACGCCCTTCAGTCCATCCTGAGGGGTGATGTCCTTCTCCTCAAAGCTCTGGGACAGAGGGGCCAAACCAGTTTCTGGAAATTCATGTGTTATCTCCTCACACCCACACACACAGGCAGACATTTAAACACAGACATTGACCCCACTGCAAACCCCGTGGCCTCACTCCTGTGATGTGTGTGGAGCGTTCTGGGCACCACTGACCCCCAAAGGAGGCAGGGGAAGGAGAGGACACTGTGGCAGTGACTATATGGGGGTGTGGAGCCTGTTTGGGGGTAGAAAAGGGATTTTTCTTTGCTTGCTGTCGCTGTGAAATGGGCCTGGTCGGCAGTGCCTGGACAAAAGCACCTCACAAATCTGAAATCTGAGCCCTCACTGCCTCCCTGGGGCACTTGTCACCTCAGGCACTTTACACTCATCTTAGGGAGCTTTAGGGACCCAAAAGATGCCTCTGTGGTGCCGATGGAGAAGCTGTGAGAGGTGATGCCATGACTTGGCCCAAGTGCTGGGGGAGCTGGAGCCCCTGGAGCAGGACCTGCAGCCTGGCTCCCTGCCCCCAGTTTTGGTCCTGGACATACTCCCCTCACAATTTACCACGTTATCTAAAATACAACTAATCACTCTGGTTTTCCTTTAACGTCAGCCTCCCAGTGACTGATTGAAAACATTTTCCCAGCTGCATGTCTTAAATTAAACGTATTTTGCTTTGCTCTGCTGGGCTGCTTCCCCTCTCTGCCAGCAAAACCTGGCCCTGAGATCCCTCAGGTTTGGAGGTCACCAAGGATCTGGTTAAATCTGTCTTTTTTTTCCATATATTTCTGGCTTAAAAATGTCCTTCCTCAGCTCCCTAAAGACACACATCCCAAGATAAATTACTCAGTGCTTTTACCCTGTTGAGCTTGGCTGGGAAGCCAGGAGGACCAGTGGGAGGGATTTACAGGTAGTTGGCACCCAGCACTGCCCGTGGCCGTGCCCAGGAGCCCTCAGGGTGCAACCCAGGTCTCTGAGCTGATGAATTAATGCATCAGCAGCGTGGCTGTGCCAGCTGGCCCCTGGCCATCACAGCTAATAAGCTCCATCAGCACAGCAACACCTGAGCTGGAGGCAGGCGGGTGGTTGTTAACACCCCGCAGCCACACAGAGAACAAAAGGTCTTGCTCCACTTTCTCAGCAGTTTAACAGAAGGATCAGAGGACTTGGCTATTAAAGCCCAGTTTGTCTTTGCAGGATCTTGTACGGACGGGACAAATGAACAGAAGCCTCTTCTTGATACCAACAACCTCAATTTTTAAGGTTTCAGCTACTGAGGCCTGACTAGGGACGTGGGCGAATTTCAGATGGCTGCAAGGCCACCGAAGCAAGTCCTTCAAATATGGAATGTGGACTGGGGGCTTGCTGGCTCCCAGCTGGTGAACTGCTCTTGACAGTGAGGCTGGTTTGGAGACACAACTGCTGCTCCTGCTCCTTGGAGGGAAACACCTGATGCACTCCAGATCCCGATCCCATACCCTGGAAATCAGGATGGGACCTGGGCATTGGTTCAATGGGCAATCAGGAGGGACTGAGCAGAGGGGGCTACAGCCTTTTTGGTCTGCTGGGGGATCTCCCAGAGCATCTCCTGAACCCACAGCTCTGGGGATTGCTGGAAGCCTGACGTGCTGAGCTCCTGCCTCTGTTCCCTCAGCACTGTATCATAAACAAGTTCTTACAGGAACAGCAATAAAATCAAATTTGATGCTGTTTCCACCACAGAAAGGCTCTGCCTGCAGCTCTCAGTTCAATGTTTGAAGACACACTGCTCACACTGCACACCACGTGTGACACCTCTTCTAGGGCTACAAAGAGGATTTCATTCCTATCCCACACGTGGCTGCTGGCAGAGTCCTCTGGGATGTGCTGTTTTCCCAGCTCCTGCCCGTCCAGCACGAAGGACAGAGGCTGCAAAGGACGGTTGTGGCCCTGAGGCGACAGGTTTGGGACAATTCCGACACCAGCAGCAGCTGCACAGCACCAAAGCACCACGTCACAACGCAGAAGCAACAGTGGGACATCATTCACCTCAGCCTGGTGGCCTGGGCTTTTGTGGGAAGGTGGCAGGACATGGTGGGAAACAGAGCAGGAGGACGGGAATTCCGTGCTGGGAGCCTCTGCCCCCTCCAGCGTGTCTGGGATGGCTAAAGACACACTCTCACAGCTCAGCACCTCCTTCAAATTGGGGAGATAAAAAGCATCAGTGGCACAGCAAGGCTGGGTCTGAACACCCAAACACGTTTGCCCCGTGGTGGCATTCCCTAATTATCCCATTCCTCCAGGGCAGGAAGGGAGGGAGGAGCACAGGTGGGCTGCAAAAACTGCCGGAAAATGCGGAGCATCTCACAGCACCTTCCAGAGCAGCTCGCAGGGAGCATGGCAGACACTGCCCAGGACAGCCTGGGTGTCCCAGATCACGAGATCACAAATCCTGGAATGGTTTGGGACCTTCCAGACCATCTCATTCCACCCCCTGCCACGGGCAGGGACACCTTCCACTACACCAGGTTGGTCCAAGCCCCGTCCAACCTGGCCTTGGACACTGCAGGGATGGGGCAGGGATGAGAGGGAGGGAATTCCCACAGCCCCCTGCAGTGCCTCTGCCTCACTGCTGTGCAGGGAAGGGACCCCTCGCTCCCAAATCCTCATCTGGATTCCAGCAATCCCACCTGCAAGGGGAAATGCATGGCCAGGTCCCTGCTCACGCTGCTCCCCCTCATCACCTCTCCCTACAGAGTTTCTGGGGTTGAAAGGAGGCTCTGCAGGGCTCCTGATGTGCTGGGGAGGTACTGGAAGATGAGGAAAACCCCAAGAGGATGGACTCAATTTACAATCCCAGCCTGTGTGAAAGGATGTGCCCTCTCTTCCCCCAGCAAGAAAAGCAATCTGGCTGTTTCTGGTGGTTTTTTTTCTGCAGAAATGTTTATCAGGAACAACATTCAAATAGTGAATTCCCCATTGCTGTGTAACCAAATTTCTACTTCCTTGCCTTAATAGAGTCTGATAGATTTTACAGAAATCTAATTTAACATAATTTAATCTCCCCCCCCCCCATTGATTTCACGGTAGATTTATTTGTGATCATGGTGACAAAGCAATTCCATGTTCACTCTTAATCATACGCTGCTGACATGGGATGAGGCAATTATCTCATGCCTCTCCTTCCCCTCCTGGACTTCTGATTGCATTGTTTTCCTACAGGACTAGTAGGAATTGGAGAGCAGGCAGTGTCTGGGAAACCAACCCAGGAACTTCCAGCTTCTTGCTGAGGGGCTCTGACCACTCCCAGGGTCCAAGTCAGCCGTGCCCCAAGCAGAGCCTGGGCCAGTGGGAAGCTGCAGTTTTTCACCAGTGCCCTCCTGAGCTCCTCTGGAAATCCCAAAGTTAGATTGGAAAGAACCCAAGGAGTGTCCATCTGTGTCCACGTGAAGGGAATTTATCCTATCCCTTGCTGTATTTGTCAGGGCTGACAGTGCCAGCATTCCCAGGGCTTTAGGAGATTCCTCCCTGGTCCTGCTGGCCACGCTAAAGGACAGGGAGTGGCTGGGAGAGCAGGAGAGGGACCTGTGGCTGTTTTGGTTCTGAACCTAAAATTCACAACCTTGGAATGAACTGGAAGTGGCAAGAGATGGACTTTCAACCCTCCCCAGGGACAATGGCCAGGACAGCGTTTCCAGCAGCTTCCCCCTCAGGGAGCCCTTGGGAGATGACTCAGGATGGGGATGGTGGTGACACCCCGAGGGACCAGGAGAGCTGCTGTCCTGTCCCTTTGGCTCTGCGTCCCCTGGGATCTGACTGTCTGGTGATCCATCCCCTCCCTTCCCCCAGCACGGGAGCTTTCTGGGAGCTCTTACCAGGGCTTGGTGCTTCACCTGCACCGCTGCCTTCAGGCTGTCCTGAGCCCTGCAGGGCGCCCGGCCCTCGGGGGCCACGGCACCTCCCCTGCTCCCGCCCGCGGCCGAGGTGCTCGTCCCTCTGGACATCTCCAGCTCGATCTCAGCGTCCATCTCAGCGTCCTCCTTGGCCTCCTTGTTGCTCTCCTCCAGGTGCTTCATCAGCACGGCCACCACCACGTTGACCAGGACGAACTGCGCGATGAGGACGAAGGTGACGAAGTAGACGGGGGAGATGACGGGCAGGTAGCTGAGGCAGTGCTTGTCCTCCCGAGTGCATTCCCGCAGAGTGTCCTGCAGCAGGAGGGGGGGGAAAGGGGAGGGATTAACAAGGGCTCCTTGGGCTCCGAACGCAGCAACGTCAAATTAAGAGGTCTTGCACACAAAGGCTCGTAGGTACAACTAAAATGGATGGAAAATATGAATTACATCATCTGCAAAGAGGAGGTTGTGTTGCCCAGAGAGGTTGTAGACCATCCCTTGAGGTGTTGCTTGGAGCAACTTGGTCTAGTGGAAGATGTCCCTGCCCATGGCAGGGGGTGGAACTGAACGAGCTTTAAGATCCCTTCCAACCCAAATCATTCTGGGATTCTCCGATACATCCCAAAGGCACAGGACACAGAACACAGGGTTACTCTCTCACTCACAAGGACTGGCATAATTTTCCTGAAGTATTAGATAAAGGAATGAAGTTTCAGGCTGGGTGAGCCTTAGGGCAAATCACCGCTCGAAGACACGCGTGGCCTTGAAATTAGGAAGCTTAATTTTGATGTTTTAAGAGGAAACCTTTTTGTTTTCACACTAAAATCCGTTTGAAATCTTTATGTACCTACAGAGAGAAGAAAGAGCCCAGACCCACCTTCATGATCCCATTCCAGTTGTCCCCCGTGGACACCCTGAAGAGGGTGAGGAAGGCCATGCCGAAGTTGGTGAAGGTGGCGTGGCGGCTCAGGCCCTCACAGGGATTTTCTTCGCTGCAATCTGCGGGACAGAGAGGCAGAAACGCCGTCAGTGAAGCCACATCTGCTCCCCCAGAGCAGCCCCCAAGAGTGGTGGTGGGACCCTGGGCTGTGTCACACTGACAGGTGGCACCAGGGAGTGGTGACCTCACGGTGCAGTCAGATGAGCTCTAAGGTCCCTTCCAACCCAAACCGTTCTGTGATCGATTCTCTTTATGGGCAGAGCCAACACCAAGAGGTCTAAAAGGAGGTGGAAGAAAGCAGAATTCCTGTTTTGCCTCAACAAATCCTGCTCCACAGCATCCTTTGTCTGTTTTCCTCTTGATTATGTCCTTGTCTTGATGGTTTTTTACAGGGTACATCTACCATGAGGGATAATTCACTGAGATAAAGTGGAGCAACCTGACATTCCCCCCCCCCAAGAATTAATATCCTAATGAATGCAAATTGAACATAAGAAATATCCCTCTTCCCATAAAACACAGGCTTGTTAAATATTCATCAGGTCAGGCAGCAATGTCTCTTGCCTGGGCATTTCACTCTTAGGTAATTATTTGAAGATAAATTGGAAGGAAAAACAGAAAAGCAAAAAGAAACAAAACCAAACCAACCCACAAATGACCAGCCCTGGGGAAGGGAGTGCTGATGGTTCCTGTGGCTGACATGGACTCGCAGTGAGCAGGAAAAGGGAGTGAGCTGCTTCCCAGTTAAATTCCCAGTTTGCTGCCCCAGAGCAGATCCCAGTGTATGATCCTGGGACTGGCATTGCCAGTGTATGTGTGGAAAACCAACCAGGATTCAGAGCAGCAGAAGGTGCCTCTGTGAACAAGCCATTCTTCACCTTTGTGACAGAACAAATACATACATATATCTAGATATGTATCATAAACCCACAGTATTTCACTTGGGGTGGATACAGAATTAATTTCCTTCTCCCCCCCCCCCCCCCCCGAATTTGTTGGAGACTGAAAAATAATTTGTTTTTGGTTGAAAGAATTATTCTGCTTTCAGGCACTTGCAATCTGAGCAGAGGGCTGGACTCATAAAGGGGATTAATGACAGCCATAAACCCTCTGTGCAGGAAGGGCCCTTCTGTGCTCCTGAAGCCCTAATTGGGATGGAAATGTTGGGGAGGCAGACACAGCTCCTTCCAGCAGCATCTTTAAGGCAGGGACTGCTCTGCCCTGGCTTTGCTGGCTGTGTGTTTGCTCTCTGCCTCCACCTGGTTTTACTGATGGACACATTCCCGACCAGCTCCAGCATCCTCAAGCTGGAGGAATAACTGGACAACCAGGAACTCCCTGATTTCTGCAGAAAGGGGAAGGTGATGCTGAGAACAATGGACAGGCAAGCCCTGGGCAGCTGGAAGAGCGATGTCAGCCAAGTGCAGGGAGCTCACGGGGCGTGGGGGAAGCTCCGAGGAGGGACGTGTTTGTGGTGGCATCTCTCCAGCACCACTCTGACCACCATCCAGCTTTGCAGACTCATGTTCTGTCTCCAGTAGCAAACTTCCATCTTTGTGGACATAGCCACGCTGGACAATTATATTTAAACAGTAAATAGTTCCTCTCCAGCCAAGGGTGGTGTTGGGCAAGTCCCTAAATGCGTGTTTGTGCACGTTAGGCAGGTTCTGTGTTACATCCTCATGTGTCATCTGCGACCCTGAGATCAAGAGGGAACTTTCATCTTCAGAACATGAGCTGTGAAAGCTGAGGAAGGCCCGGGAATGAGAGAGAGAAGAAAGGAAACGGCGAGATCCCAAATAAACATCAACCGGATGAAACGGAGGGCGTCGGGCTCATTACTCACCGAGCTTGCCAAACAATTCCACTCCCAGGGCAGCATAGATAAAAAACAGGAGCATAAAAAGTAGGCCAAGGTTCCCTACCTACACAAGGAGAAAGCAGAACAAGGGTCAGGCAAGTCTGAGGTCATGAATTAAATCACTCCATCACATTTTAAACACAAGCAAAGGAGGGACGGGCGGCCAGAGGCAAATCCACACCTGCCCCGGCTCCCAACACCCTGGTCCCCTCTCACAGTTCTGCTTTGAGGGACCCAGAGAGCTCCTCTGTGGGTGGGAATGGGCAGATACTCCATCTGCCTCTCCATCACCCTCCACTCATCTGGAATTTGGCCGCTCTCAGGGGCACTTTCAGGGCAAGGGGAGTTTGTGACCTGGGGCTTTCAACTTCAGGGGCCTTTCCCTTCTGTTTGGGACTCTGAGCATGAAGACAGTGACAACAACAAGCCACCAGAGGAACTGCCTGGTTTCCAAAGGTTCCAGTGGCCTGGAGGGCTTTCAGCAAAGGAACATGAGCTCCAGGGAGAGGTGAAGCTCTCTGAGGTTTCACCCTTTACGGACATTCCTCAACAACAACTTCCCGAATTTTAGCTTTCAGTGTCTCCAAGGAAAAGCCTTATTCTGTACACCAACACTGAAATGAAGGCACCTGGCAGCTCTAGGTGCTGCTGGAGGTGCTAATGAGCACAGCAAGGTGGCTGAAGGGGGGTGAGAGAAGTGAAATGATGCTAAAAGGTTCTCAGTACCAGTGGCACTGCAGTTATCAGCACTGCAGTCCATCCATCACGACATGGGATCCAAGCCCTGAAAACATCTTCAAGAGCAGATTTTTTTTGTGTGATTTAGGCAGAGAGAACACGAAGGGCAGAGTAACCTGACCTGCCACAACCTGCAAGTAACTCTGCTCACATTTATCTCTCCTGCCACTTTAATTGCTTGTGTCTATCAGCTCTAGCAGAGATAAAGTGATCGAGTTCTCCAACCACACGTGGCAGGACAAGCATCATTTATCCCTAAATAACAATGAACTAGGCAGAGGGAACCCTGACCTCCAGGGTCTCTTCTAATGAACTCTTCTTTTGAGAGTTTTCTTCTCTGAGGTGGCACAGCCACAGTGGTGTTGGGGATTTGCACCACACTCCTTAATTTCATCAGAAGAGTTATCAGTGTGACAACTGTTATCATAAAATTAACACAGCTGTCACTCACAAAAGAGGTTTGGGGGTTTTTTTGTGTTGAAGAAATGGGAGTAGTCAAATCACCCAGTGGAGACTGTAACTGCTGTAAAGCCTACACTGGCTACTCCACACAGAGCTCTGCAATTCCACCAACATCACTGCCATCTTCCAGGGAATGACAGAGATAGAACAGGGATGGGGATGGCTGGGCTGGATTATTTCATCTGCCTGGACTGTCTTCTGGAACAATGTTTCCTAACTTGTGTCTGCTGGACAAACCTGATGGTTTGGGAGACATTAGAAGGCAAAGTGACTGCAAATGAGACAACACAAGAAAACAGGCACATGCACAAATACACACACACTGCCAGGGAGGCAAATGAGCAAATAATTAAAGGGAAGGGGAATAAAAGCGACAAACAAGCCTTGGAAGTCGAGTGTATATTAAAGCCCTGCACAAGAGGGTTTTGGATTTTGCTCAAAGCAGCCTGAATATCTTACTGCTATTTTAATGCCTAATAAATCAGCCTGCAAACTTATGGCACTGATGAAACTCCAAAGAATTTAGACTAACAACAAAGTTCTTACCAGGTTATCAGTCAAAACCATCATCTGGCTTTCAGCTTGCAGAGGATGTTACGAGCTGACATTTCCTCATAAACAATTTGCTGCTTTCTAGTGGGCATTAGCAAAAGATTCTGTATTTATGATGGTGACTAATTGCATCACTGAGCCAAGGTGGCTCATAGCAAGTCCTTCAAAGGCCACAAAGCCTCACAACAGAGTCCTTCAAGGCATCACAGGCACAGCTTTAAAGTGCTGAAAGAGTCCTGTTTGCTGATGTGGGGTTTGCTGTACCCCTGAGAGCAGACACGGGGCAGCTCCAGAGCTCAGCTCGTGCCCAGGATCTCTTGGGAAGTGCCTGAATATCTGGCTCTGAATTGGAAATGTGGCCATGTGAGAGACAGGTGGGACACAGGGACAGGCTGAGGTGGAGGCAGCAGGTCAGGCAGTGGCTGTGAGCAGAGGGAAGGCAGACTGAGAGTTGTCTGTGACCTTGGGTGAGTCATTCCTCTCCTGCAACTCCACGTCCCCATCTGTAATTCCCTCAGGGATAGGTAATTAATGTCTCCAAAGCACTCTGAGATCTACTGAGACCAGACAAGAAGAAGATGGGGCACAAATCATGTTGCTGGAAGGAATGGGAGGGGGGCAGGAGCTCAGCAGCCAAAGGCTGGGATGTCTGGGCTGGACTCTCCACCAGGAACAGAAATCCAGTCTCTGGTCAGAAGCCTCAACTCTGGCAGCCAGGCAGGCTCTGAGAGGTGGTTCTGCTCCAGCAGCACTGAACAGGGCAGCTCTGGTTATCCATCCAACTCCCCCTGACTTGGGCTGGGCACAGCAAACTCCAGACATTCCCTTTTTCTGGCAGCCAGGGGCTATCCATCATTTCCTGGGGCTCCAGCACTGAGGAAGGCTGTGAACTGCAGGGAGTGAAGCAGAGATGAAGAACGTCCTGGAGATGTTCCTGGTGCCCTCAAGTACCTCAGAGAAGCCACCGGAGATGGAGATGCTGGTGAGCATCTTGTGATTCCTCCTGGCCCTTCACTTGCTGGAATCCTGGCTGGCAGAGCTGTCTGTGTGCCCGGGACAGAGGGATGCTGTGGGCACAGGCAGAGTCCTCCATCCCACCCAGAGGAGCAGGGAGGGCTTCTATGAGGAACCACCACCCTTCCCCACAGTGCATCCCAGCTGAACCTGTGACCTGCCATTAAAAGCCCTGGAATAGCTTTCCTTTTCCCAAGGAAAGGGACTTTGCACACACCCAGCTGGCCTCTGCTCTCCCTGCTCTGGGAGAGGCACTGATGGAGTAAATGCCTTCTCTGGTCCCAGCCCTGCAATGCCTGGGTGAAACCAGTTCCTCCTGTGCCTCTTCCAGCTCTGACATCCATCATTCCTCCATCACACCCTGGCATTCCAGTTGTTGCTGCAGGCAGGGCACACAGCTCCCTGGAATGCCTGTCAGGAGCAATTTCTCACAGAACTAAGCCCCTGCCAAACCTTTCCAAGGACACAAGTCCTGCTCATCTTCCCTCCATCGCTCTCCAGCCAAAGCAACAATCCTGGCAGCGGGAAAGCACAGGCTAATTTATGCACTAAACCCCAGAGAAAATGGACACATTTGCTTGGAAAACAGAGGCCATCTGCGAGAATTCCAGGATTAGTGGGAAGGGCCAGACAGACAACCTTGGAGGCTGAAACCGTGTCACTGGTGAAACCACGGGCCACCAGCTGACCTGTGTGTCCACTCAGGCCCACGGTGCCAAGAGCCAGCAGGGGGTGCTTCTGTACCTCAGGATTTCTGCTTGGCTGCTCTCATCCCTCAGGCTTCTCTGCAGCCCAGCCCACACACACCTATCTTCCAAAATCCACCTCATCCCCCCTGCTCGATGCTCAGACATTCCCGGTCTTGCTCTCTGAGTTCACATCCCTGGGGGTTTGCAGTGTCTGGCAAGAGCAGATCATTCCTTTTTGTCCTCCAAGAGACACACCAGAAAACCTCCTCAGGAGCTGACAGTGAGATTAGCACAGGAATTCCAGCACCAAAAGGAGAGAAGGTCCTGGGCAGGAGCAAACCACAGATCCTGCCCTTCAGGGCACTGATAGAACAAGGAGTTCTTCCCTCTTTCCTTGGCAGAGGGTCCATCCAGGGGGAGATCCAAGCTCTGAAGACAAAGAGGAGGGTGTATTGTACAGCCTGCTCTTAATTAATGCCATCAGTGGATCAAGGGAGAAAAGAGAAGGAAAAGGAGCCCAGATCTTTTGATAGGCGAGTTCCACGTCTCGCTGTTGTTGGCCCTGCGGAGGAGGGTGGGAATTGGACTGGATTCCCTCTGTCCCCTCCATCAGGAAGAGCTCTGGCAGCCCCACAGTGACTGCAGGGTTTCTTGGTGGCAGTGCAGTGTGGGGGGATTCATTTACCCCAGGAGCATTTCAGCCCAGCCAAAGGCCACATTCCAAATCTGACAGCAGGTACAGGGAGGGTGAACTGGACTTCGGAAAGCAGGGAATGGGAAAAGGACTAAAGGGCCACCATCAAACAGGAGTCTCACAGAGCAGACTTTGCTTACAAAGCCACCAGATGTACAAGCAAGGAAATATTCAGCTGATGGATGAGTGGTGTAATTCATTATTGAGTCTTAATGGGGCCAGAGCTCATAAAGAAGAGGAAAACACTTGAAACAGGTCTTGAAAACCTGCTTCATACTGAGAGATTAAAGGAGTTCAGTGCTCTTCTGTTTGCCAGACTGCAAGAGATTATTTTATCTATCACTGCTCCAAAAAAGAAGGGCTAGAAGAAAAAAGCAAGATGACATCCAATGACAAAATAAACTTGGCCAATTCACACTAAAACAACAGGTAATTTTTAGCAGGAAGAGTAAACAAGAATGTATTTCATTAACAGGGGATGGCTGATTCCCTAACACTTTTTATCCTTGACACTTTTCAAGGTTTAGTCTGAACTTCCAGAAGAGACTAAGTCTGTGACAGCCTCAATCTTGGATCAGAAATGCTACATTCCCCCAAATCTGGGGACAGTTGGTTCTCCAAGTGCTACTCAAACTGTTATCTACTGCTGGATAAAAAACAAAGCTGATGAAAATCACCCAGAAGAAAATCAGAAGTGTTTTGCACTGACAATCCCTTGTCATCGTCAGCCCATAAAGGGCTGTTCTACATTCACCACACAAAGAATTTCGCCCCCCAAACCTTAATGAATAAACATGAAATCAGCTTTTTTTTTGTCACTTAGAAGCCACATTCAATGAGGATTTTCCAGCTGTGGTTTCAGGCTGCTAAATTAATTAGGGTAGGAACTCATCCCCTGCCTTGGAAATGAAAGCTGCAGCTTTGTGAAGAGTGATTGTTGTTGGAGGGGTCACCCCAAGCTCCCCTTCTCATTTTCTCAACTCCAGTGGAGGCCAAACTGGCATTTTTATCTGCATGAGATCTGCTTGGAATAGCCCTGGGGTTTTCCCTTTAATGGAGACCTTGTTGGAATGTAAACTGCAAGAACACCCCAAAGAAACCAAAAGCCTGGCCTGCAGCCACCCTATTGTTTGGGGGGCAGAGAAACCAAGGAGGGAGAGAAAATATGATCTGCAATCACAATGCTTTTTGAAAGAAAAAAAAATAAATCAAATAATCTCTTGAAATGCCAAGCCAAGGGCCAGGTTGGTAAATCCCTGCTTTAGTCTCAGCCAAAATCCTTCACTGCAAAGGAAATCTGAATACCAAAGGACAAATTGTCTCAGATTAGAAACATCTTTATGGCAGTGATGAAAAGTAAGTGCAAATGGGTCTTTCCAAGAAAAAGAAATTCCCCTTGTTTTCCAGTTCACTTTGAATAGATCAGGGGCTGCTTTGTACTCAGTAACTAAGTCACAGGGGTTTATTTGGGTGATTCCATGGAGCAGTTGTACTGATTTTCCTGTGGCCACTCATCCTCTGGAGGAGACGCCAACACAGTGTCTGCTCTTGGCCAAGCCACATCCTGCTGTTCCCAGGGAATTCCTGTGCAGGCAGGAATCCACATGTGGCTGCCCACCACCTCTCCCAGTCCATCCCAGGACACACAGAATGGATTGGTCCCGTTCCTAAAGCCCCTTCCAGCAGCTCCACTGTGGGATGTTCTGGAAGGGTTGAAAACTCAGGACTTGTCTGACCATGTTTGTGCATCCTCAAAGTGCTGCTGCTGAACTGCCAGGTCAGAGGAGAAGGTGCAGGGTTCTGGCACTTCATCTGGGACTCAGTTCTGGCTAAAGCCTGGCAGTAAATGTTTCTAGCACTGTCTGGTGGGATACAGCAGCCTGGGGATACAGGAAATTGGGATGTGCAGCTGACTCCAAAGAGCTCAGACCATCAAACTCACACACCACCAGAACACAGCCTGAAGAGGACAAGATCTAAAAAAACAAAGGAACCCTAAACTTCTTGGAATTCTTCTGATGGAGGACTGCAAGTCAGCACAAAAGTTTCTTTCATTCTTTTCCCAGGTAAACAGATCCATTAAAAAGTGCTCTCCAGGAACTGAACTCCTGAAGGATCCTAGCAAATGTTCAGACTGGCAGCATCGTTGTTCCTCCTGCAGCTCAGGAGAACAGGGTGATTTGAGACCCCACTCCAAGCTTTCAACACTCAGAAACATCTCTCAAATTTGCTTTTTGGAGGCTGCAGCTCCTCTGGCAGCCATGTCCCTAAACATGGTTGTTCCTGCCTCACAAAGCTGCTGGGTTGGAAGCTCCCATTGCTTTCACCAACACCCTTCTCTGTCTGTCCTTGTGTTTCCTGAACTTGCCAGTGAAATCTGTGGTTTATAAGAGCTTTGACTTTCAAAGAGCTCTGACTCTGTTAACTCTTTATGCATCACTCTGGTTCTCCCACCCAACACACACACTGTGAGCAGAATGTGCCATGAAAAACTCTGCTACCAAGGCTCAGACAAGGCTGATCATCTCCCCAGGTGGCTTCTAGTGGCCACCAAATGGTGGCATAGAGCTGTCCCCAGACCCAAAAAGGGCATGGATGAAGTCTGGGGGCTTACCTGGGGAAGGGCTTGTACCACCGTGTCCAGCAGAGCTCTCATCCCTGTGGCCATTTTCAGCAGCTTCAGCACTGGAATGAAAAGCAAATCCTGGTCAGCAGGGCTGGGAAATCTCACAAGTAAAATCCACCCAGGAAATCCAGGTTCAGATCCTTAGGGAGGGTTTCCATCTCTCTCACAGCTGTTCATACACGTGGCAAGTTCGCTGCATCCTGGCTGGGCCCACAGAGCAGCTGAACATCCTGAGCACTTCCCACGCCAATTAATGTTAATAGCAGCAAAAATAGAGTTGGGGGTGTCCAACCTGGGGAAGAGAAGGCTCCAGGGAGACCTTAGAGCCCCTTCCAGTACCTAAAGGAGCTCCAAGAGAGCTGGAGAGGGACTCTGGACAAGGGATGGAGGGACAGGACAAAGGGGAATGGCTTCCCACTGACACAGGGCAGGGTTACTGGGAAGAAATTCTTCCCTGTGAGGGTGGGGAGGCCCTGGCACAGGTTGCCCAGAGAAATTGTGGCTGCCCCATCCCTGGAAGTGTTCCAGGCCAGATGGGATGAGGCTTGGAGCAACCTGGGGTAGTGGGAGGTGTCCCTGCCCATGGCAGGGGGTGGGACTGGACGATCTCTAAGGTCCCTTCCTGGCCAAACCATTCTGGGATTCCATGAAAACAGACCCAAAGCCACAAGAACTCCAGAGTGCCCAGGCAGGAAAATGGGAGAGTGAAGGGGAGAGACTTCACCAGTGCAGGGCATCATCTCAAGCTCTAACTGCCATCACCTCCCTCTCTCGTCTGGATCAGTACAAAAGGCCTGTGATCCCAAGTTTCAGAGCCCTATCTAAGATGCCACTGGAAAAATGGTTCTCTGGTTGACATAGAACCAGCTGGACTGGAAGAACAAATGGCCAAACCATTCCCTGAGGTGTCTGGAGGGATGGCTGAGAGCCTGGAGCAGGACACACCTCTGGCTATCCTGAGCACGCGCATGATGCGGATGATGGTGGGGTTGATGGGCAGAGCAGCATTCATCTCGATCTCCTCCAGGGTGATTCCCACAATGGACAGCAGAACTATGGCCAAATCCAGCTGATTCCACCTGCACAGACAGGAGGGGCAAAAAAAAAAAAAAAATTAAAATCACACAGTAGGAAATTGTATGTTAAAAGCAGGCTCAAGCAGCCCCCAAATGCTCCTCCACTCTCATCTGGGCCCAGGGTCCTCTGTGTGGTACAAAAGCAGCTCCCTGCAGCTGGCACAGACACCTTGAGAGCCACAAGCTCTGGGAAGTGATGGAAGCTGACTGGGAGGTGTCCCTGCCTGCCTCCAGGCTAGAGGGACCCGTGATGTGATGCAATACAGCTGCTCCCACGCTGTCACCTGCCCCGTGAATTACTCCACTTGAGTATCTTCCTTGATTTATGGCCTAACACTCATAAAGGGCCCTTCACACCAGCACCAGAAGGGCAGCAAGAGGTGAAGAAACTGCGTGTCCTGCACACTCTCATCACTAACATTGCTCAGAGCAGCTTCCAGCCACTCAAGTCAGGATAAATGAAGCAGCCAAGCTGATCTTGGACAAGTGTCCAATCTTGCCCTGCTCCCCAGCAGGTCACCAGACCATGACCTGCTCTCATACACATTCCCTTCTGGCTCAGTGGAATGCAGAATGAAATCTGTAGGTCTCTGCAGCTCTGGGGTCTGAGGGCAGGGGGGCTGAACACAAAAGCTTTACAAAGCCAGCAGTCACCAAAGGACTTGTTTCGGGGGACTCTGTGTCCTCAGATTGCCAAAACTACTCTTTGGAGGGCTGGATTGATGCCAACAGGTTGTTTCTGACCTCTGAGCTGCCCTGGTGGAAAGGGAGGCACTGGGGGTGAGGATGCATCTAGACCTTTGTGAGGTTTCTGGAATTCCTCCTGCAGTTCTTATGATTTTTAGTTCCTACACTGGAAAGGTTGCACCCACAGCGAGGCAGCCCTTGGCTCTTCCCAGCACTCAGCAGGCACTCAGTGCCATCCCAGGGATGCTGCATTTACCCAGCATCTGGCTCTGCAAGTGGGTCAGTTCAGCTCTGAATCCCAAATGCACAGGAGTTTAAAATAGTCTCACCTGTCCTTAAAGAACCTCCGGAAACCGAACGCCACCAACTTCAGAAGCGCCTCGAACACGAAAACAATGGTGAACACGTAGTTGCAGTACTTCAGGGCTTCATCCAGGGACTGAAAAGAGAGATCCCAGTCAGACCAGCCCAGTTGTCCTTTCCTAGACCCCCCCACCCCAGAGGAATTGGCAGGGACAAGGGTGACACAGGAACAGAGATAAAAGAAATAAAGTTTAAGAGCTCGCGGAGCTCGCTAAATCACACAGCAAAACTCAAATAAAGGATTAAACACCGATTCAAACAAAAACCTCAAAAGCACTAAGATGAGTTGGCCTAAAACTGTCAAGTTCAACCTCAGTGCACAACTTGTTCAGTCTGGGGCAGACAGAAAAAATTTCACTCCTTCCCCGCCTACTGAAGTTTATTCCTGAACTGCCCAGCCTTGGGCAGAATAAAGGACTTGATGGATCAGCTCTTGATTCCAGCATGGCAACCCCTTGGGACAAAGGCTTTGCTTCAAAAGCTCGGAAAAAATAAATAACATGGGAGCTGGCTTAGATCTTGCCTCCTTGAAAAATGGCACATCTCTAGAGCTGGGCAGAGCGTGTCCATATTTGGTGCAACGCTCCCGCTCTCCGCGGGGCTGCTTCGGAAGTCAGGAATCCACGGTGTTTATACTCCAGCATGATGAGTGTTTATAACGGATCTCACTGGAGCTACAGGCCAACAATAGCAAAAGAATCTTGCTGGGACCTTAAAATAGACAGTTGCAGAGTGAAACAGCTCTGGGGGAGAGGAGGGAGGGAGGGAATTTAGCTCAATATCTTTGTGATTTCAATAAGGAAATGATAATTATGAACATCCAAACAGACAGAATTGGGAATAAATGCAATAGGGGAGTCTGCAAAGCATGTCAGAGGAAGCCCCAGGGCACAGGAAGGTTCTCTGTGTGATGACTGGGCTTTGCTGACCCCACACACATGACGGGGTCACCATAGCATGACCAAACAGTGATTTTTTTGGGAACAAGAGCTGAAAGTTTTTTAGGTGTTGGTGTTCCTCACTGCACTACTCCCCCCCCACTTTTGGTGCAGTGCCTAAATTAAAATGGCAGCTTAAAAGGGGACAATTCGCTGTTCCATCCTGAGCCTGGCTTCTCGCATCGTTTGCAACGGTTTGCATTTGGATTTACTAACACTGTATTTGTGAACATAAATCGAGTGTAAATAAGACCTAATCTGGATAAATAACATTTACATGTGAAAAAGAGGCTGTTCTGCAAAGGAATTATGGGGCAGAGCAGCACACAGGCAGCTGGGGTAAAATACACACCTTCCCCTCTGGCTCAGCATCCAGGGGGAATCTGCAGGTTACCTGGCAGACCATGGAATACTGGAAAAGTAAACACTGAGCTCCAGGAATGATAATATGATGGAAGATTATTATTTGGACAGGCTGTATGATCTATGCCAAAGGTCTTCTTGGGAAATGATGCCTTCAGGATGCACAAAGAAGGGTTGCACTTATGAGTTGGTTTATTCTAAACTCATTGAGGGAAAGAAACGTTGCTCTGCACTCAGTAACTTCAAGTTTATATTTCTTAGTGGGATGTCCTAAAACTTTGGACTGTTTTACAGCCTGAGGGTCAGTCACAGGGAGGAAATATTTGGATTGGTCTTTTCCTAGTAGAAGTTTAGTTCCCTCTCCACTAGCCTTATCCTCTGTTTGGTTTCTTTTTTTTTTTTAATCAAAAGCAGGGAAATGAAGGTTTTGACTGAGGTAAGGGACTCCCAAATGGTGGAGCTGGCCTGGAGTGGGATGATCCCAGGGAGGGAGGGCCACTGGTCAGTGATATCCCAAGGGAACAGCATCCTCTGGGTTTCCCAGGGGCCGGGTTGCTGGGCATCTCTCACCTTGGGCTGGTTGTAGTGCTCCATGGACATGGTGATGACGTTGACCCCGATGATGAAGGTGATGAACAGGTCGAGGTAGTGGCTGGTGCAGAGGCTGTGGATGTATTTCCGTGCTGGGGAATAGTCGGCGTAGTAAGGCCTGCGCTGAGCCTCTGCAGGGAGAGGGAAAGGCACGCCATGAGCCAGGCCCCGCTGCAGGGCTGCTGCCTGAGGGTCACCTCAGCCATACCTGCATCCAGGGAAAAGCCTGGGAACAACTGAGTCGGGAAATCCACGTGGGACAGCCCAGCGATTCCCGGTGGGTTACCGGGAAGAGCCAAACCTCTCGAGGCACCTTTGCCAACCTTTTCCCTCCCAGGGACGCTCCCTGTCCTTGCTGCTCTGCCTCAGGCTCGAGGAAAAGCTCCTCAAGGAACAGGGCAGGAAGCTGGCAGGGTGAGGAGCGGGGTGGGAGCGAGACCCAAAGCCAAGGGAAGAGCTCTCGAAGCGTCAAACCCAGCTGAGCTTCAGCTCCGGCTTCGAGCGAGGCTCAGGGCAGGGCTCGTTGGGCTGGGCTCGGCATCAATCCCAGTCCCAATCCCAATCCCTCTGATGTCAGGCATGTTCCACGTGGGAGAAGGACACGAGCTGAGCTCAGCTGCTGGGACAGGAGGATTTTGGGGGGGTTTGAAGGGCACATGCTGAGGGTTAGGAGCGCACAGCAGACACCAGCAGCCACGCAGAGGGGGCTCAGCACTGGGCTCTGCAAGGACAATCAGCCCAAGCTCCCCTGGAAATATAAATGTCAATTCATATTCATAAAATACATCATGAACCAATATATATATATATACATAAAACCAGGGCCTGGCTGCATCTAAAAGCTCTTTTTAGGTTTAGGTTAAATATTCAGTCAGGCTACCATCACGTGAATTTTCCATCTCTGCCTCTGGTCATGATTCCTCCTTTTTTTTTCTCTGTGAAACAGGGAAATTTCTGCACGTGGCCAAGTTCCTGGGGTTGTTCCAAGGAGAGTGTCTGGACCTGGGACTGGGCTTACTTACCCTGGGATTTACTGTGTGTGTCTCTCTTAAATGAGACTGTGACCACAGAGATGGCTGTGGGCACTCAGATGGAGTCAAATTCTTTTCAAACTTAAGAAATGTAAATATTCAGAGTTTACATAAGGCCAGGGCAGCATTACTGCAGATTTTGCAAGTGGAAAAAGACACGTTAGGTCATACCAAGCCAGAGCAGGATTGCAGTTAACAGAGAGGGGGGTTTGCAAATATGACAGCAAATTAAGCTTTAAATGCACGAGCAGCTCAGAAAAAGGAGTTGCTTTACCTTAAAAATAAGGAGGGAAATGAGCTCAGGAGTACTCAGTACTCCCTAAAATACATCTTCCCCTCCTCTCATCCTGCTAATACCTTTCAGATGACTCTTAAAATGTGTGTGGAGGGGTTTGGTGGTGCAGTTGATGCCAGATTAGAGTCCAAACCCCTAAAATTAATTGGATAAAGGGAACCAGAATCTGTTGCTCTCTTTCAACTACAGCTCTTTACTCCCGGTAGTTAAAAGTACAGTGGAGGCATCTGAAAAACATTTCCTTCTGACCAGGGTCACCAAGACTTATTTTTATTTTTTAAGGGGTGTGGAAAAACAAGATGAAAGCAAAGAGAGTTGGTTTTGAATACATTTCTCTGTTGCTTTCATGTGCCTTAATCCTACGAGTCATCTTGGACTGGTAGGGCTGACTTTGCCACTGAGCTCAGCGTGTCTAAAAAATAATAACAAAAACATTGCAGGATGATATTTATTTAAGCCTGTACAATGTGCTTTCATGTGTATTCAGGATTACAACATACTTTTCTCTCTCTTTTTTTTTTTTTTTTTTAAGGAAATGTCTTCTTGGGAATGCAAATAATCAGCTCATTGGGAGGTCTGAGATTACCCTTAGTAGCTAAATGTAATATTAAGGGACTATTTATTGATGAGTAATGGTTGATTATTGGATCTCAGGAGAACATTAGCAGGGATGGGTTGGCAGCACACAAAGAAAATAGGTTGCAGGTGACTGTAACTCCCTTCTAACCTGCCCAAATGCAGCCACTGCAGCAAAATATCAGGTGTTTATTATATTTTATAAACTACTTACTTAAGGATAATCACAAGAAGACATTTTCCACTGTAAAGCTGCTGAACAGAAAAACTTCTAAGCCGCCTGTCAGCAACACAACTCCTTCTTTAGGTGGGCTGGAGATAAAAAAAAACTAAGGAGGAAGCACCCAGCCATAAAGGTGGGTCTGTTTTACAGCCCAGAGGTCTCTCTGTCAGCTCAGGCTATGCCTGGTCAACTCTCTGCTCAGAAAACCTGGGATAGGTTTAACTGGACACAGGATGAGGAGCTCTGGGAAATGCCTTTAGGACACACACACCACCTGAAGCCAAGGTTAACACACGGAAAAGGAACTTATCCAGTGGAGAGAGACATACAGGGACAGTGTGGGATCAAGGTGACAATAAAAACACATGCACAGTGCCATGCTCAGGGCAGGAACCCATGCAATGTCCATTAGAGGAGATGCTGCTCATGCCAGGCTGGGGGATGTGCCAGAGGGACGCAGCAGCGGCGGCTCCCGGCAGTGCTGGTGTCGGATCAGCCGATCCCAGGATGGCAGAGGGGGCTGCAGCGGGGTGGAAGCAGGGACAGAGCAGCCACAGCAGCTTCACTGCAGCTCTGACCCCCTCCAGGCAGGAGGGAGGCTGCATTTCAGAGCTCCAAGGCCCCAGCTCTGGTCATTCCCAAACCTTTTTGGGAGCAGTTTTACCTCAGCCAACAGCAAAGCAAGTGGCTCTGGCCTCCTCTCAGCTCACACACACATTATTTAACTCTAAGTGAGAATATACAATCTTAAACTCCCCAGTTTGGGTGCCAAGTGTTCACTGCACACACCTACTGCTCCACGAGCCTGCTCAACCAGAGACCTGGGGCCTGCAGGAGAACCTGGCTCAGGAGGACAGTGGACCACGGGGATGTGGGCACAGCAAACAGGGAGGACCTAATCCATCATTAACTGCAGAAGGCAAAACACAACCTGTGCCTTGGCTTCTCCAGGGAAATGGTTTTCGGGATGAGACTCCCACCAGCCAACCAGCAGACTCCTGTCACCACAGAATCATGGAATGGTTTGGGTTGGAAGGGACCTTAAAGCCCATCCAGTCCCAGCCCCTGCCAGGGGGACACCTTCCACCAGCCCAGGTTGCTCCAAGCTCCACCCAACCCAGCTTTGGACACTTCCAGGGATGGGGCAGCCACAGCTTCTCTGAATAACCTGTGCCAGGGCCTGCCCACCCTCACAGGGAAGGATTTCTTCCCAATGTCTAACATAAACCTCTCAGTTTGGAGCCATCACCCCTCGTCCTGTCCCCCCATGCTCTGTAAATAGTCTCTCTCCATCAAACACAGACAAGTTTCCTTTCAGCTGACGGCCTGAACTGCTGAAAATGCAGGAGGGAAAGGAGAAACCATTAAACCAATGGAAAAAGAAGAAAACCACAGCCCTTTCTCGCCCCTAATTCTAGATGTTGGCTAATGCTTGAATCTCACCTCCCTGCAGAGTATTTAAACTTCTTTGCTTGTGATTGTGCTGACATGAAAATTAATGAAGCGCCGTCTCCCGGCTTAAAAGCATTTTGGTTGGCATTCTAATTGCCAGCTACAGCTCCTCCATTACAACCCTCTGCATGAAACATTAGAAAGCCCTAATGGGTTTATCCACGCTCGGCACGGAGCAGCTCCGTACCTGCAGCTGCCTGGAAAAATAAAGGAGATGGGCTGATAATTCCCTGGTTGGAAGCACTGAACACTCGGATATACAGCACCCCAAATTTTAGTTACAGCTCGAATGTTTCCCTGCTGGATGCACAGAGGGCTGTGGCACTGAGAGGATGCATTAATTTAAATACCTCTGTGTGCTGCCCAAGATTGTTCCCCTCCAGAGAAGGCTTTACAGTCAGTGCTTTGAGAGGCATCTCTGCTGGGTCTTAAAAACTGGCCTTTCCTTTCCACCATTCCCAGATGCAGCTCTGCTGGGAAATGCCTCGGAGGAACACTCCTGTGGCCACAAGGAATTGGGAAAAAGCTTTCCTTTTACAGAGTTCTCAGGTTTTGGGGTCTCCCCAGGGACCAGTGACACGGTGACACCAATGCAAGGCGCTCTCTGGTCCCCAGCCAGAGCCTTCCCTGGGCTGTGATTCCCTGATTTCCAGCTTTTCCAGCACTACCTGCCCTGCTCTCGGCACCCAGTGTCACCCAGACCCCCTTCCAGCCTTTTGAAGCCCAGAGCTGACCTGACACATCTGCTGCCTTCCCAGCAGACACAGGACCCTTGGACTTGGCCCCATATCCTGCAGGCAGAGGAGATCAAGCTGATCCACGTGTTTTTAATCAAAAACTTCAATCTGGGGAGGCTGGTTTGGGTCTGTGTCTTCTGAGAACCTCATTAAAAGGCTGGGAGCAGCAGGATTGTTAAATTCCACTACCCTTATCCACCCATAGAGCCAGTGGATGGAGCAGTGACGGCGGCAGGAAAATATTCTGGTTTATCTTGAATTTTTCTCCTCACATAAAGCAGTTCACCGTGCACTTCTGCCTTCAAAACCACATCAAATGCGTTTCTGCAGGGAACTCAACCCCCTGCCCTCTGCTTTCCTGTGAGCAGAGTGAACCTGCTGTCACCTTGTCCCAAATCCCTCCAGGAAAATGTGTCCTCCACGGAGCAATCCCTCTGCAGAGCCTGGGATCTGCACCCACAGCCTGCCCAGGGACCATCCAGGCACTGCTAAGATGAGGTTTAATCTGCTCCCAGGCCTGAGCCCAAGCCTGCCCTGGCTCCGTGGGGCATTTCTGTGTGTGCAGGTTTGGACAGACGCCACGGACTGCTCAATCCACAAAGGCACAGGGGACACCACACACAGGAGACAGGACACAGAGACAGGGGGCCAGGCAGGCAGCGAGCCCAGGTGGACAAGTGGTGCTCAGATTGTTCATCTGGGGGCTATGCTGGATCTTGCCCCTGTTAACAGCCCTAATTCTCCCTCCTCTTGTGATCTCTCAGATGCCAGAAGTGGTGACTGAATCAAAAGCAGGGTCCTCTCTCAGGCTTCCCACGTGGGCTCCTGGCTCCTCCACTGCTCTGCTGTGCCCATCCTGCCCCGTGGCCTCACCTGGAAGCAGTGGAAGCTGCCATCCCACCCCTGCACACACACACACACACACATCCCAAAGACACTCTGCCCCGCACGGCACCAAGCACAGCTCACATCTTTCTGAGCCTGCCACGGCTTTTCAGCAAATCCATCATCTTCTGAATTTACCCAGGAGGTGAAAACTCCTCCCATTGAAATGACCAAAACAAAAAAAACCCACCAAAAATCCATTAAAATGTCAATAGCAATCTTCCAAAATGCATATCAGATATTTGATTTCGCCTTGTTAACTGCTCAAATTCGGGTGCCAAGCTGTCCTTGCTGAACAGAGGCAGGTAGAGCCAGACAATCTAAGGGAACCTTCTGGAAGCCCAGCACATGGCCAAATGTTTTGCCTCTCAGTTGCTATGTTGCCTTGATCACCTTCCAGAAATCTGTCCTCCTCCCTGTGTGCTCTCAGTGAAACGTTACAACCCTTCCCTGTGCAGTGCCTGGGTCTGCACTCCAAAATATCTCCTCAAGTCTATCCTGGGAGACAGCTGGATAAAAGAGGGGCAATGTCACAGTGTCCATCACTTTGACAGGGCTCTTTTTGGTGTCTAAACAGCAAGTCACAGTCAGGCTTTTAATAAGATTTACTTCCTAATCAGGAACAGCAACTGGCTGTGGCTTAAGCTGTGCCTCCTTACCTGTGCCACGGTCTGTTTTCTCTAAGGATGCTTAATGCTCCTGGGAAATAGTTTGGTTTTTTTTTTTTTTTTTTAATTTCATATAAACTTTAAGTTTATCTGAAGTCTTCTCTCAGCACATTGGGGCAGAAATTCTGCACAAGCCTGGCAGCCTGAAGCTGATTTCCCTTACTGTGCTGGGAATGCTGCCTTCAGCATTTCCACCTCCCTCCAGCTCAAAAACCAAAAGGGGAAATGAGATCTTCTAAATCTCTGCAGAGATTCAGTGTCTGTCTGCACCTGGCTAGTTTGAGCTAGGAGGTGAGGATTAATGCAGGTTTGGGTCAGGGAAGGAGCACAGGCTCAGGTGTTTTCCTGGTCTGGTTGGATGGTCCCTGCTGGATCCGCTGAGAGGCAGATTTTGGCTCAAGGCCTTTTGCTGCACCCTAATGGCCCCTGCTGGGCAGTGTTTCCATGAAGGGCCCCCCCAGCCTGCGATGGGACGAGCATCTCTTGTAATGGACATTTTCCAGGGGAGAATTCCCCGGCCAGCCCCATCCTGGGGCTCCACTCCTCTCCCCAGATGTGTCCATGCCCTCATGCAGGTCCGTGGCATGCGGGGCCATGCGCCAGGACTCTCAAAAAGCATCACAACTATTTTGTCTAAGAAAAGAACTAAGAAATCAAACCACCACCACCACCACCATCCTCGGATGCAAGCAGCACGTTAAGCCACGGGGTGCCCCCGGAGAGGCCTCCAGGCACACAGGGAGCTCACTCCCCACATCCCTTGGACACACCGAGGTGCTTGGGACACTCCAGCAGGACAGAGGACTCTGCTTGCAGGAGGATTTTTCCCCCCCAGCCAGGTGAACAGGTAATACTTCCCACCAGGCTTGTCCAGGACAACTCCAGGGCGTTGGCAACCCCGAGGCTTAAGGCGCCGCCGAAGAGAGGCAACGAAGCAAAACAACCTCTCGAATCCCCGTGGAAACAAAACCAAAGGAAAAAAAAAAAAAACAAACAAAACACAAAAGTCTGGCTTTGGGAGCAGGCAGGGCTCAGAAAGATTTTGGTTTGTAAGGCAGTCTACCGACCAGACAGGTACATCTCCTTACTCCTGCGCTTTTTCTCCAGGCGTCGGAGCCGCTTCTCCTCGCGCCGCCGCGCCTCCTCCGCCTCCTGGTGCTGCCGGCACTTGTGGAAGTTCTCCACCACCACCCCCACAAACATGTTGAGCACGAAGAAGCTGACGATGAGCAGGAAGGAGATGAAGTAGAGAAGCATCCAAGGGTTATGGTTCTGGATGGGCTGGTGGGGAGTTAAAGACAAGGGAGAAGTGGCATAGACGAGAGATGTGTTTAAGGCAGGGGTTTCGGGTGCTCTGCAGCAACAAGACAGGACAGCTGTCTGCTGTGGGCTGGGAGGAGATTTTTCCCCCAAACAGTCGCCTCTCCTTCACCTTCTCCCTGACTAAAATGTCACTTTTGGTGTGAAACCCGCCCTAAGTTGGCATACAGGATTTGATCATTGTGGCATTTATTTCATACAGCTAAAAATAAACCTCAGTGGATGTGCCTCATCCCACCAGCAGGATCTTTTCAGCTAAAGATAGGCTCCAGATTTCTTTTCTTTTTTGAGATGTGGGCTCATGTTTCTCAGTTGTTCTGAGATCTTCAGAAGCCGGGGAAAATTAAGTACAAAGTGTTACTGTAGCTACTATGGGGTGCTAATGGGAGACTTGTGACTTAGAAAATGCCGCATAACACACCAACTGAATATCTCTTTCATGACATTTCTGGTTGTTTCCCACCCTCATTCTCATCAAAAGCCCCATCAGTGCTTGTTTGTACTACACAGGGTGCTGCAAAAGCGACTCGGTGGAGAATGGAAAACTTTGCCAGCTCAGTGAGCAGTCAGGACCTCAAAGGTCCTGTAACTCTGCTCTTTCCTGGGACTTCAAAAACACCGGGAGTCCCCCAGGCACGAGACCTGTGATAGCAACCCCCTGCACCCTGCAGTACCTGTTGGTCAATGCCCACGGCATCCAGCCCGTCGTACATGATGTTCACCCACCCGTCCTTGGAGGAGAGGACAAACAGGGACATGAGGGCCTGCAGGAAGACAGAAGACATTGGTCTTGCATTTTAGTCCCCAGAAAAGGAACTTAGAACCAGGCAATCCTCGCCAAAACCAGCCCACAGCTCATAACACATCACCTGGCCAGGAGCTGAGGGACAAGCGCAACAGTTTGTGGTTTACTTTTACCTGTTTCTAAACCTGGTTTAAAAGGGAGCAAACTGGGTTGTTACTGCTCCTTTTCCCTCACATATAGACTGACTTTTGCTTGGACACATCAGGCTTTCTGGTCACCAAAGCATAACTAAAAATCAGTATTTCAGGCTGGCCCAACATCATCCAGTCTCAAAAAGCAATGGTATATCCCAGCTCCTACTGTGGGCTGACTTGCTTTTCAGCCAGTAGAAAGCACCTTTTTTCTTAACTTGCAAACACAGCAGCCAGAAATCAAGGGACTAAAAGGGACAGTTGAGGTCCATACATGAGAGACTGCATCCCAAAGCAGTAGCTCTTGGTTATAGGAGACAACACTCTCCTATAAATAAGGAATTGTGTCTCTCTCCAAGAAATCAAGAAGTGACCTGATCCATTTTTACCTAGAGAATACCCACAGAAAATTTTACTCATGGAATCATCTGGGGTGGAAAAGACCTCTTAAGGTCATCGTGTCCACCCGTTAATCCAGCACCGAGAAATGAATATTGATGTCATTCTTGGAAACTTCCTCTGATGGAGGTTCCACACCCTCCTCCAGCAGCACATTTCAAGTGTTCATTGACAAAGAGCTGGTGCAGAAATCCCTGCACTGAAGGGTTTTACCTGCCCCAGGTTGTCAAAGTTGTACTTGCGCCGGACCCATTTGTAGCGAGCGTTGGTGCAGTCGGTCTTCGTGGTGATGTTTTTGACATCAGGACCATCACAGTAGTAGAACTTCCCTTTAAAGAGCTGCATTTGAGAAGCACAAAGAATAGAAAAGAAAAAAAAAAAAAAACCAACAACAAAAGAAATGTTGAAAAGCCTGTTCTGTGATTTATCTTTCTTGCCTTTAGCAGAGTTGGTTGCCAAGTGGGAATTCCTGTCCTTTCCTTCCAGCTCACACAATGCCTTAACACACGTGGCAGGAGAACCCTCTGGAGAAACCTCAGCCCTGGGACATTGGCTCAGACACAGAGGGAAGGTGATCCTGCAGGTCAGCCCTGGCTTGTTGGGAGGATGATATCCCATACATCCCAGCACACAGTGCCAGGAGGGATTTGGGAATTTGCCTGTCCTTTTCCCAGCCCTCAGGCAGGCTGAGCTGGTGCTGTGCTGTCCCTCAGGGAGGTCTCTCTGCTCTTCTAATCCCAAGAACCCCCCCTGAGTGAGCAGATGCCAACCCCACCCCAGAGCATTCCTCCCAGATCCTGGCTGATATCTGATATCTGGAGATATTTAAGCTCATTCCTTCCACCTTAACCCCAGCAGGTGAGAAAAGCAGCTTTCCCTTTTGCAGCAGTCACTTAGAGATGACCACGGTGAGGGAAATACTCTACCTGGACCCCTAAAATCCCAAAGATAATGAAGAAAGCACAGCAGATGAGAACAATATTCCCGATAGGCCTCAAGGAGGAGATCAAGGTTTCCACCACCAGCTTCAGACCTGGGGCTCTGCTGATGACTCTGGAAAAAAATGACAAGACAATGAAACTTTTAATTTTTCTGCATGACCTGTTATTACCCAGCTGCTTTTCCTCTTGTCTGGGCTGCAGTGAGGCTGACACAACCCTCCTCTACCTGCAGGCAGCGTTCAGAGACAATTAGTGACTTATCTGGACAACCAGAACATCCCCAGTCACATTAGATGGAATTCAAACCGTGTCAGACACCCTGCCAGCAGAGTTGGGCTGCTGCTGGTCAGAGTGGGGAGGGAAGACTCTTTATGGGCAGAATATCCCAGAGTTCCCATTATGGGGCTGTTTGTACCTCTGCCCAGAGAGGTGACCCCTCTGAGGGCTCTGATCCAAGCAGAGGGGCCCAAACCAGGCAGGAACTCCTTCCTCTCACAACAAGTGTGAACAGATTTACAGTGGTACTGGAGACTCTTTCTACAGGTGGAAGAGTAGAGGCCTGGGCCCCGTGACAACTTCTCAAACAAAGGAATTCCAATTTGCTTCCTAATTAGTTCCTGAGCTGCCCCTGAGCTGCCAGGAACCCGTGAGCAGCAGCTCCACAGCCAAAGGGTCAATCCCATTAGGGAGCAGGTTGCTGTGAGGGGCCTGGAGTGCCCTTCAGGGCAGGTTTTGGGTATTTTGGAGAACAAGTGTGTTGCTTTCCTGCACGAGTGCCTGGAGAATGGCTCTCCCATGGGTGTCTCAAAAATGTGCTTGCACACCCAGGTGTAACAAGCCCAAGCAAGCTGTTCTGGGAAGGGGAAGAGAAAGTGGGTGTTTTGACTGAAGAACATCCAAGCTGGTTTTAGGAGGGGTCTGTGGAGGGGACAGGGTGAGTTCTTGCAGGGGGTTGGAGCTCACACCGAATGAGGCCTTTGTGGCTGCCAAGCCCAGAGAAAAGAGCAGAGCTGTGTCTGCAGGGACAGGGCCATTCCTGTCGGAGAGAAATCATGTGGAGCCTGAACTGCACCTCCAAAGTGTTAGGAATGGTCCCTGGAGTAATGCTAGGAGAGGCTGTGCTAAGTGAAGCCATAGTGAGAGGTGATGAATTCCTTTCTATTCATAGGAGCTGGCCTAGTTATTCTCAAACACTAATTTTCTCTTTTCCCTTTGCCTTTCCTCAGGAACTGCCTATGCCCTGAATTCTGTTCCTGGTTATGTGGGTCAGGCAAGTGCTCTGAGGTGCTGCCAGGGTGACCTGGCCAGGGTGACTCAGTGGCTCCTGGTGAGCCCAGCACTGCCAGGGGACCCTGATGCCACCAGCAGAACAGAGCACGGGAGCAAGAGAGGAGACAGAAACCCGAAATTACGTGTCACTGAGGAAACACAGAGCAGCAAAAAGCTGCTGTTCTTGTGGTCCTGGGCCTAAAACATTGGCTCTTCCTATCACTCTCACAAGCATGGCTTTGCACCAGAAAGCCTGCAGGTTTCTGGAGGTGACTATCCCATTTCCCCTAAAATTTCCTTTAAAAAAGGCTCGTGTTTCTTGCCAAGCAGGATGGAAATAGAACAGGAGCTGGGAGTGATAAAAATCCCCCCAAGCACGATCACTCTTTGTTATTGCATAATCACAACCTCAACACAAATTCTCTTTCCTCCTTTTCTCCAGCACTGAAAGCTCTCCCAGCCTGGGCCTGGCTGAGGGAGGGATTGTTGTGCAGTGCTCTCAGCAGGCACAGGAGAGCAGGGAAAGATGCTGGAGCTTCTCAAATCCTTGTCAGCACCTGTTCAGTGGCAAATTCTCTGCCATCCAATGCCAGCTCTTTGCTGGGGGGGGGTGGGGAGTGTGTGCAGCTGAAGAAGGAGCCAGACTGATTTGTAAAACCCTGATAAAAATGCAGTGTGGAGGAGGCACTGACTGCACTCGCTGCCTGAACACGATAACACCTCTCACTCCCAACTCCAGCCGCTCGTTTCCGTGCTGGAGGAGATGAATTATAACTCATTTCAGTGTTTTCAAACAGTTTCACCACTTTAGTGCTCCCCAAAGATGCTTCTCCTCATATTGCACTTCAGTTTTTCCTGTTATTAAGCCAGACCTTGATGGATCACGTGCATTTTTTCAATCTCTTTGGCGCACCAGCACATACCGGAGAGGTCTCAAGGTCCGCAGAAGTCTCAAAACTCGAAGGACACCCAGGATTTTGGCTCCTCCTGCTGATGCCATGGACACAATAATGTCAATGATAGACACAAAGACCAGGACTCCATCCAGAACGTTCCAGCTGCTCTGCAGGTAGGTGTTCTCCCCAGAGAAAAAGCCAAGAGCTACCACCTGCAGCCAAGAGAGGAGAGACATTTAAATCTTCCCCCAGATCATAACCATGCCACGTTCTGGTCTTTGCCAGGCCTCGCTGTGGGCCATGGAAAGAAGGTGGAATTACCTTCACCATCATTTCAGCCACAAAGATGGCAGTGAAGATGTAATTCGAAACGCTGAGGAATATCCTTTCCTGTCAAACACGGAACAACAAAGAGAGGCAGAGTTAGAAAACAAACATCTTTTTCTGTTGCAGGGTCTTGCCCTGAGAAGATGAAGGTGTGGATGGGGGATGGAGGAAGAAAATGACCCAGGTACTCACCGTGCTCTGTGGGTCTATGTCTGGTCTCTCCAGTGCAATAGTGATGCAGTTGAGAAATATAAAGACCAGCACCACATGATCAAACATTTTGTGGGCAATGACCTTCTGGCACATCGCCCGGAACCTGAGGAAATGGTGGGGAGAAAAAAGGTCCTTCAGGTGTTCGGGGCAGTAAGAGACTCCTACCCAAAAGCCTTCCCCAAGTACACTATTCCATCACCACAAAAACCTGCTGGGCTGGCATTTGACTGAGAGTTCTTACCGATTCTGGGGGGAAAACAAGTAGAGGGACCAGTCCTCGTGAGTCTTGCACCACTGGGGTTTGTAGGGCTCCAGGACTTTGCGGATCCGGTAGCAGTAACTCTGGATAAAAAAAGAAGAGACGCCTTTTCTTCCTCTTTTATTTTCCTGCCTCTTCAACTTTCACGGGTTTTTTGTGAAAGGGGGGCAGGGGGGAGGCAGTACATGGGGTTTCACAGTGCCTGTGGGCTGTCCCAGCTTTTGGGACAGAGCTGTGGTGGGCACTGTCACAGCTGTCCAGTAAAACAGGGAGGAAAAGGGGTGGAAGAAGGGGCTGCTGTGGAGTGACATATAAACACGACTTCTAGGCAGGTGTTGTTTTGACACCCAAAGCTGTGCCAAAACCAAAGAGGCCTGAAACAGCCAAGAAGCTAAGTAGAACACATTCTTTTCAGGCTTTCAAGGTGCCAAACAGCTCTTGTGAGTAAAGAGATTCATTAGTTGTTTTGTCCACAGCTTATTTTTGGAGGCATCCTGGGCCAGGGGGACATTCTTAATTAGTCCCAAAACGAGGCAAATGGGTGCACATCCCCTTGTGGGAGACCACTGTAACAGCCCAACTCTGTGGCTTAAAAAAAGGGATCTTTTAGAAAGTGAAGGCCCATCCTCGGATCAGGATTGGTGTTCCCTACCCCAGGCACGAGGCAGCAACACATTTCCATGATGGATTTCTAACCAGCCCTCCTGGGACCCCCCAACCTCCCTGCTCCACTCACATCCTCCATGTCATCCTCGTAGTCCAGGGCATCCTCCTTGTGCCCGTCGACGCGCAGGAAGAGCTCGCTGGGCACGTGCACCATCTTGCCGTTGCAGTCCTGGAACTCGGGGGGCAGCGCCACGGGGCTCACCCCGAGCGAGTGGCGCACGGGGGGCAGCTGGAGCAGCTCGGGCAGCTCCAGGGAGCTGCGGTAATCCAGGGACTCCGCCCGCCGGTGCAGCGAGGGCCGGCTCACCGTGCTGGACTTGGCGTCGTCCGAGTCGTCGTCGGTGCTGCCCTTGCCCTCCCCGGAGAGCAGGGACTCCCTCTCTCCCGACTGGTTCTTCTTCTTGAGGCTCGGGGCTCTGCCCAGGCTGTTCCAGCTCGAGCGCCGGCTCCCCCAGTTGCTGCTGGTGCCCCAGTTGGCGCAAGGGGAACTGCGGAGGCTGGACTGGGAGAGAAGAACGACACTTGAGGGTTTGCTTGCGGGAGGCAGCCGAGGGATGTGGTGTTTTGCCCAGATTGGAAGATCCTTCCTGCTGCAGGCCTTGTCTTCCCCTCCCAGCTTCCCTCACTGCTCCCGTTCCATCAGGTCAAAGCCCTGAGATGGGAGCCCAGCACCCGGCCAAGGACACACTGAGGGTGCTCCTGACCCACCCCCGTGGCACAGCTGCCAATCCTCTGTCCTGTGTGACTTCCCTCTGTCCTGACAACACCAATTCCCCAAGAAAACTGAACCCAAAGACATTCCTGATGAAGCGGTGTTCTCTTGCCTCATGTTCCTCAAGCCCACAACTTCCCTGCCTTCCAAAGGAGCCCTGGCACCCAAGTGTCTGTTGGGAATCATGCCCCTATTTCCAGTATTTTCTCTTCATAATGCAGTGGAATGAATATTTCTCTCACACAGATTTCTGGCACAGATCAGGCTATGCCAGTGCACTTTGGCAGGTTGAGGGAGCTTAAGGTCAGTGCAGAAAAGCCAGAAGGAAACTCCTTTTCTCTCCGTGGCTTCCTCCCAGCACAAAGCGAGGCAAACTGCCTCCCTCCTCCTCCTCCTCCTCCTCAGTGCTGGGCAGCTCTCCTCTGACTGCTTCATCTGCCTCTGGCTGGTGGCACTGATGTGCTCTCCCAGAAAGGATTCAAACAATGAACAACCCTCTCCAGCACCTCGCAATGCCACGGAAGCCCAAGGCAAACAACAGCCATCTCTGTTTTCTTTTCAAAAGCACCACGTTGCCCAAGCAGCTTTACCGAGGGGCAGAGCGGCTCTGCCTCTGCACAAAGTGCCTTCACGGTCTGCTGCCCTGATTTGAACACGATCCTGCAGTTACAGAGCACGGGAAGGGGACAATGAGCGGCAGCAAAAATCCGCTTTGTCTCTTAACCTGCTGCCTGTTTACACAGAGCTGCCCTCCCGCTCCCCTGCTGCAGGCAAGCACAGCCAGCTGCCAGAGCAGAGCTCCAGCCAGACCTCTGCTCTTGTGAGCTGTGCCTGGTGGCAATCCATCAGCTCACTCCTTGTTCCCTCTGTTTCCCCTCCCATGGGGCTGCTGCACTGTAACCAGAGCTCAGCTGGGTTGGGGAGGACAAACAGTGCTTCATCCCCCTTGTAAATTCAAGACACAACCCCAAAACACCGAGAGGGAAACAGGCCTCATCCTCACAGGGACACCTGGCAGCTTCTCCAAGACACCACAAACGGCCAGTGTGGTTGGGAAAAGATTCCTGCCCCTCCTCTGAGGGGGTAGCTGGAGGTAACTGCGTGAACTCACGACTTGTCTCAGGCTCTGAATCTCCACTGAGGCGGCTCGGCATGGACTCCCAAGCTGGAAAACACCGAACGCCGGTACCTCCCGGAACCTACCAAGGACTTCTGATCGTAGCTCGTGGGGTCCAGGGAAGCGTTGCTGCCTCTCCTCGAGTCCACGAAGGTGTGCACCGAGTCCATGTGCGGGGAGCACTTCGGGGTGGGCATCGGGGTGGCCGCCGTGCGCAGGATGATGGGAGGGGGCATCGACCCCCTGCCCTCCAGGTGCCCATTGGGGGTGACAGCCAGGGAGTACATCTTCATCTCTGGGCAGAGGGGACAGGGGACACGGGGTGAGTGCTCAGCTACGGGAATCACTTTTCCAAATCACAGAATCCCAGGATGTGCTGAGTTGGGAGGGACCCACAGGGATCATCCAGTCCAACCCTCATCCCTGCACAGGACCACCCCCAAGAGTCACACCCTATGCCCCAGAGGATCATCCAAAACCTCCTGCAGCTCTGGCAGCCTTGGGGCTGTGCCCACTGCCCTGGGGAGCCTGTTCAGTGCCAACCACCCTCTGGGGGAAGAACCTTCTCCTGAGATCCAACCTGAGCCTGCCCTGACACAACTTCAAAACTAGAGCTGAACTGGCTCCTGCTTTCCTGGGCTTGGTGGGCCCTGGTTTTATATCAGAAATCAGTTCATATTGCAGGACCAATCTTAAGGAGGGGGAAGGATCAGCAGGAAAGCTGCACTGAGGAATCCAAGTGAGTGCATTCCCTGCTCTGGTTGCTCTTGCACTGCACTTTGCTTCTGCTGGATCATCTGTTCAGCTGCTGGTTTGTGCACAAATGCCTGACCTGCACCACAGAAGGCCATGGGAACACTGCCATTCACCCTGGGGGTGGAAGTTGCAGCTCCAAATTTGCTAATCTGCCAAACACATTCCTCCTGGCCCTGTATGTGTTACAGACCAACAGCTTTGCAATAGAAATGTTAAAGCCTTTCTGCTGTTTAGTCACCAGTTGGCACCTCTGAGGCTTATGGAGACAACACAATCACTCCTGGTTTTCAATGGCAAGTTCAGCCCTGTTTCCTATTCCTGTATTACCTGAGAAGAGGTGACAATGTTGGTTTTTTTTCCCCCCTAGAAATCTCTTGTTATTTGAAGCTGCTCAACAAATAGTTGGTGTAAATCTGGTGTAGAGCTGCGCTGTGGGTTCCCTACCAACCATTTGCAATGGATATTTGATCTCTTGGTGTTTGGGATTTGCTGCTTCATCTGCAGACTGAGCAGCTCCATCACCTTGTTGAGATCCAGCTCTGTCTCAGCTTCCCCAACAAATTATTCTGCCCCTTCCTCAGCTGAATTTCCATCTGCTCACCACAATCAATATCATTTCCTTAGCTGAAACAAAACCTGGTTTAGAAGCATTTCAAGTCATCCTAGCAGAGCCCAAGCTGGGAATCAAAGCACAGAGGAACTAAAGTGGCTCCTGTTTGCCATCATGCCATTCACTGTGTTAAACTATGGCATCCCTCCTTGTCACCTCTCTGGCTGCAAACTCTGCAGAGTGAAGGCTGTCACCTACTATCCCATGCTTTTAGTGCTCTGGTAGAGTGTGGCCTTACCTCAAATCGATTGCCAGACCCTCCTGTAACACAAATGAGCAGCAACATTTCCATCAATCAAGCCTCACCCAAATGCATTTGTGTGGGAAACCAAAAAGAACAGATGAGAACATGATTGATTTGAAAAGCTGCTGAGAAAGTAGGGTGAGAACATTGCTGTCAGCAAACCATTCTGGGGGAATGGTACAGGAGAAATGATGAGACACAGCAAAATATCCTCGTAGAGTTTAAATTAGAAAAACATCTGTTTAAAGGAAACATCAATGCTCATTTAGCTTTCACTTTGCAGAGCTGCTCTGTGGACTCAGCTATCAGATTAATTGCCAAAAAAAATGGATTCTTCCAGCTTCCCCCCATAAGTTTCTGTGAGAAGACATGGAAGCAGAGTCATGGCTGATGCCAGGAAAACGTGGACACAAAACCCTACCTGTTGCTTGGAGGTCTTTCAGCTTCTCAAAATCATCCTCAAAGTTGGCAGATGTCTTGTCCTCATCTGTGTCTGACCTAGTGGCATCACCCTGCAGAGAGGAGGGGGATAATTAACAGGCACCATAATTTGGATTACTCAGCAGCTCAGAGGCACCTCTGCTCCCAAAGGTCAGTTTAAGCGTGGCCCCACGGAATGACCCCAGGCAAGTCCCTCTTCTATATTTTGATTAATTTTCACACTTGGACAGGCAGGATGGTGTTGTGGCTGTTCCTGCCACGTTGTGTTTCCTACCTGCACCAACCTCCTGGAACAGTGACTCCCAGAGAACACCAAAACGGGGCTGCAGTCACGGGAGTGACTACGAAAACCTGGCATGGTGGGGTTCCATATCTGCACTCCCCATGACCCCAGCTGAAAGCACTGGGGGTTTGATGTCAAAGGATGCTGAAGGGTTTTTCTTCTTTGTTTGACAGCACTGTGAATTTGAGTTAGATCTGAGAACCCAGCCCTGGTTTGCTTCCTTCAGGCTGGCTGGGAACTGAGATTGTACTGGGAAATCTCTTGGCTGTGCTGAGACAGAGGGAATGAGGCAGCACAGAGAACAGCCAACCATCCTCACCCTGCCTTTCCTCCTGAAAGTTCAGTCAATTTTCCCTTTCAAACATCTCTAGTACCAAAAACAATCAGCCTGGGACAGAAGAACTTCTCCTTGCTGCGGGAGAGATTCCAGCAGACTGTTGGCTTCACTCTGGCTGGACTCATCAAGACTGCAGAAAATCTGTGCAAATTGATAGCAAATGGTTGGATTAAAGCAGCTGATCCCAGAAGAAGGAGCACAGTTCCCTCACTGATGCCTGAACAAATCACCATGGTTTCTAGAGACACGGAGCTGAAGTGGCAGTGAACTTAATTTCATGTGTGATGGATTGCAAACTGGTGCAGCCAAGCAGCCAGGATGACTGAAAGGCTTGAGCTGCCTTATTCATCTCCTCTGTTTTAGAGCAGAAACACCAGCAGATGAAAGATCTGCATGATTTCAGAAGGTTTGTCTGCTTTGCCAGAGCAGCTCTGGGGTAGATTTCAAACTGACAAGGGAACAATGTAAGCACAAATATGCAATTATGGTCTGGCTGCTTGTTGGACTAGGCACAAATGTACTAAAAATGGGTTTGTGGCCATTTAAGCCTGCTCTCTTCTAGGCATACTCCTGGCAAACTCGCTCCACAGGCTGAGCAGAGCCTGGGATCAAGCTGAGACTGTGTCCTGAGATTCACAGGGCAATTTTTATTGTCCTTGCTGAAACACTGCTGATGGTTCCGAGTTCAGAGCAGCCCTAACATGCACCCTCTCAGCTGCACAAGTCTCCCAGGAGTCACTCCCCAGTTAAAGTCAGAGAAACACCTGAGCAAAGGGAGGAGAAGTGCCCTCAGTGTGTTAGTGACTGCCAAGAACAACCCCCTGTCAGAGGGCAAAGTCAAAGAGGACAAAACAAGAATTCCTGCCATGTTCCCAACCTACCAACAGAACCAGGCATGACAAAAGAAAACCCAGCTCCACTGATACTTCTTCCTGAAGTTGTGCAGTGAGGCTGCAACCAGTCTTTGGTTTACAACCAGAGCCAAGACTTGGAGCACCCTGGCCCAGTGGAAGGTGTCCCTGCCCAGGGCAGGGGGATGGAACCAGGTCCCTTCCAATCCAAACCATTCCAGGATTCCATGGTTTGTAAGTGCAAGGCTTGACTCCAGCCCTGGCAGCTGAAATCCAGCCCTGAGAAGGGTTTTCTGCAGCACAGCTGACTCCTCTCTCCCAGACAACCGACAAACCCATGGGCTTGATGTCAGGGTTTGTAACAACTGCAAGTGGAGAGCAAAATGTGCCCTGCAAATGTCATGCCTGTGGTTGGTGGCCTTTTCAGAGGCAGTGCTGGGTGAGTAACACCAGCTTTGCAAAGCAGTGCTTACACACATTGAAATCATGCTCCATAACAGCTCTGGAAGGAGCCATCAAGCCTGAGCTTAAACCCCTGGGTTGTAACCATTTGGCTGCCTCAGTGCTCAGGATCTCAGGGAGTTCTGCACGAGGCTGCCCCTCCCTGGCTTCACAGGAGCACGTGAGGAACCTGCAAGAGGGCAGGTCAGGGATGGGATCTGCTCTGCACAGAGGTACCTGCAGGCTGCTGGGCAGAGAAAACTGCCTTAAAGCATCGTCCTAAATATCTCAAAAATTGAAGGTTCGAAGCCTTGAAATGCAGCTTTTGAACTTGTGCTGCTGTGCAAATAACACAGAAGGGACAGAGTCCCAAGGAAAGGCCTGGACTGAGACCCAGTTCACATCCTGCCTGGTCCACATGACTGGAACTGGCTAGAATGTAAGGCCTTCTACAGAATAGAATATATATATAAATATATATATAAAATAAAGGCCTGAAGTTGGCCATAAAGAAACACAAAACATGGGATACACGGGAGACTTGGTGAGTAAAATTACTCCTAAATTATTTCTCCTGTGTCACACAACAGACCCTGGAGCAGATCCACCAAGATCCTGGTCTCCCCAGTCCCACCACACATCCAGAGGGCTTTAATTATGAAGATTAATTGGCAAGAGCTTCACATGCCCAGCCTGGCCCATCTACACCCCTCAACTTTAAATTCAGGGCTGTTCCCATGGCAGGATGTTGCACTGACACAGATCCATCCCTGCAGCTGTGCCAGTGCTCTCCCACCTCTCACCTCTGCCTGGAATCCCTCCACCAGGATGGCAACCAGCAGGTTGAAGAGCACGTAATTCCCGAAGGTCATCAGGGCCACGAAGTACAGAGCTGCCCACGAGGAGGTCGACGCCATCCCGTTGTACAGGACCACGTTCCAGTCCTCCTGAGTGAGGATCTGCAGGGAAGGGAGGGGGAGGGAAGGCTCCAGTTACCCCTCTCCTGCACAGCAGCTACTTCAAACACTCTCTCAGCCAATTCTCCCCCTGCTTTTTGACCTTTCCTGAGCGTAACCGCTCGTAGGTCTCAAAATGTCCTTTATTTAGATCTTCACATGAGAGCTCTCTCCTGGCCAAACCTCCCCCTCTGGCTGCCCAGAGAGGTTTAGTTCAGATCCCAGATATCATAACATGAAGGATGCACTTGTCCTAATCCCATTATTTCGTGGAGGTATTGCCTCCTTGGATAATCATCAGCAGATAACAGACCTGGGGCCACAGATCTTGTCTCCTTTATAAGGCAATTGAAGCTGAAGGAAAGGGTAAGGGACAGGATATTTGATGGGATAAATGACATTAGGAGGCTCAAGGAATTCAGGGAAGCAAAGTGGTTTCCTTCAGGTAAAAGCACTGACAAGCTGGGCAGAAAAACACACATCCTCACAAAAAAACCTTGCTCCAAGGGATTTCCTCAGAGCTTTCCTGGAGCTCAAAAATCCTGGGGCCCGAGGAAAAATGGATGACAGACTCGTGTTCCACCTTAATTTCTGCTTGCAGTGAAAATGGCCTCAAACTCTCCTGCAAACAAGGTGGCTTTGGGGAGACAGGACTGAATTCAGCTGCACTGAGTCATGTCCCTCAGGAACCTTCACGGGACACAGGACCGAGCCCTTGTGCTCTGTGCCAGCTCCAATTCCCAAGGGACTGGCAGGATAAATAAATGCAGCAATCCATGTGTTGGTGAGAGAAAAATGTGAACCTCTGAGGCTGATTTGTCTTTGCTCCTCTGCAAGAAGTTCTGTTTTTCACAGTGGAGGCTCCAGACTGGTTTGCACCTTGAATGGATGATACTGTGGTGAACACCTACCCTCGTGCTGAGAAACTTGGCTCAATGGTATTTACACTGTGCTCCACCTGTAGCACTGGGGCTCTGAAGTCTGAGCTTTGGAACAGAAAAAGACTAATCTTTATATTTAGAAATGTCCCTGAAATAGCAGCTTATATATTATGGAATATGCCAGTAATTTCAGGCACAAACCAGATCTTGGCTGCAGAGGAAACTCAACCTTTTACAGAAGGACTTTCCCAGCACCTCCAGCTCTGATTTGTGATGGTATTTGGCACTCCCAGTAACACGAAATTGCTTGCAAAGTGCATTTTTGGGGCAGTGCAGGTGAGTGAGGAGACAGAGATCTGCAGAACAGGGACAGAATGGGCAGCAGACTGTGGGTCTTGATCTTATTGATTACAAAAAAGGAAAATATGGATGGGTTTCCTTCTCAGACTTTCCTTTTGCTCCCAAGAGACATGCACGGTGCTGATTTTAGCAGACTGCTTCTTTCTCAGGGCTTACAGACACAGAAACACAATCTCTTTTCCCTAATAACGAAACTTGGCACTTCCTGGAACAGTTCTGTGAAATAAAAAGTCCTCGTGTTCCACACTAAAACTCCCCCAAGGACCCAGAGCTTACCTGAAACACAGTGACAATGGCCCAAAGTAAGGAATCGAAATTCTTCCTGTCTGGAACTGTGTCCCCTGTGTCAGTTTTCAGGCTGAACTTGCATCCAAACAGATGCATGCCAAGGATGCTGGAGTGGGGAAAGAGGAGGATGGGAGAAGCATGTTATTGTGGGAAATGAGGTTGCAGGGAGGATTGCAGTGATTTTTTTGGACACTTTTCCCCTCCCAGTGTTTTGAGTGCTGGTGGAATCTCCTGGGAAGGTGGGATCTGCTCCAGCACTGACATGATCACTGATCAAACCCTGCAAATTTGTCTTTTCTGTGCCACATTTCATTACAATTTTCTACACTGAAGGGATCTCCTTCATCTAGAAAATGACAAACCACGTTGCCAGCTCCCTAATCCAACTGGTTTCCAACAAAGGAATCTTAAGGAGCATTACAGGGTCAAACAGGCCAATGTCTTGGGGTCTGTACAACCTCCATCCCAAATGTAACACTGGTACAGTCCAGCAGTGACAGTGTCCTCTGGCATGGCCACAGGACCCTCTCAGGGACCCGAGGAGCAATTGTTGCCTGTTTGTGAACTTCATCCACCTACAGAATTAGAGAACTGCAGGGAAAAACAGACTGAAAGGGGGTGAACAGTCTGCTGTGAGCAGCTCCACCCCACAGGAACCCGCAGTGCATCACTGTTCCCACCTCCACGCCCCTTAACTGAGCTGGCCAACCCATCAGGGAAGAGCTGCAGCCTCTGGTACCTGAAGATGAAGATGAAGAGCATGAGCAGCATGCAGAAGGTGGCCACGTTGTCCATGGTCTTCATGAGCACCACGAGCTGGCGGCGCAGGGCGGGCATGAACCGCACCAGCTTCAGCACCCGCAGCAGCCGGAACGTCCTGAGCACCGACAGCCCCCCGTCCGACTGCCCAATGATCTCCCAGACACTGCAGGGACATGGGGCAACAGCTGCAACCGGCAGCACAGCACGGGGGAAGCCCTGAGGCTGCTTTTCCTCCAGGGTTTCCCACGGGAATCACACCACTTGAGCCCCACGGGAGTGTTTATTGGCCTGCTCCTTTCCTTGCTTCTGGAGAACACCTTCACTCCCAGTTCAACTTCAGCTTATCTCCCTTGGAGCTGGGTTCTGACTCTTTGATTCTGGATTCTGACTCTTTGATTCTGGATTCTGACTCTTTGATTCCCTTGTTTTCTGTGGTTCTTCACAGCACATCCCCTGCCAGGCTGTCACAAGCTACCGTCTGTCACAAGCCCACCCACAGAACGTGGATCGCAGCTCTGCACCAGGAACAGCCAGAGGGATTTACATCTTTGCTCCTGGTCTCTGTTGCTCCTCCCTTCTCTGAATCGAAGGGATGGGCCAAGGGAAGCCAAGAGCACTGTCCTGGTTTGAATCTGTGCCTCCCTTGAATTCTCTGCCCCAAATTACTGCCAGGGGGGTGACCAGCACTGCTGGAAAGAATCCTAGCTCTGAGGGGTGCAGCAGCTTCTCATGTGCTGTGGCACCGCCAGTTTAGGCTGGGACAGTGTTCCCTGGGAGAGGACAGCAGAACAGTGCCCTCTTTCCCTCCTGCTTCCCCTATTTCAGCCTGAGCTGTGATAATTTGGGACAGGGAGGGCACTCTGCTGGGACGTGGACACTCACTGCTCTCCTTTCCCAGGACCAGCCACTCTGCACTTGAGTGGAAAATCGCCCCCAGTGCCAGATGTGTGGCAGAAATAGACTTTGTTCTCCATCTGCCAGGTCCATTTACTTTGGACAGCCCTTCTAACGACAGGAATCCAAAATATCAGCGCAGTTCTAGCCCACCCCAGCCCTGCATTAACACGTGCCACGTCACTCCAGATCCCCATCCCACCCCCAACCAGGCTGAGCCATCGGAAAAGCAGGGAAAGAACCAGCAGTGACCTGATGACAACGATGATGCCGTCGAAGATGTTGTAGGGGTTCTTGATGTAGCCAAAGATGCCAAAGGCAAGGAGCTTCAGGAGCATCTCCAGGGCAAACATGCTGGTGAAGACGATGTTGCTGATCTCCAGGGCGTTGGTCAACTCATCTGGCTGTGGGGGCAGAAAAGCAACGGGGTCAAAGAGATGCACAGAGGAAACAGGAAAGGCTGGAATGTTCCTCCCATGTTCCTCCTCCCATGTTCCTCCTGGAGAGCCATGGAGGCAGATAAATGTCTGAGGGGAACAGCAGACAAACCTCATGGATAGTCCCTGTGAGTCTTAGTGGAAACACAGAATCCCAGCCCGTTTCTGGAGCAGTTGCTTTCCAAAGGAGAGGGTTTATTTACTGTTCCAAAATACAATTATCCAGGTGAACAGTTGTATGATTTGGAGGCTCCCATCTGGACTCACATGGGTCAGGCTGTTTTCACAGCACTAACCCCAACAGAACTTCATGGATAGTGCTACATCCAAACCAGGACCACTGGTTTGGATAGATGAATAGTCATTTTAAAGCAATATTAAAACAAAGTATTTTTCTTCCAGATATCTCTTAAGAGAATTAGGAAAACAAGTGAAAGTCAGCAGGATCAGTAGTTTTATGTCCCTTGAGATATTTGTCTCCCTTTGGAAATTGTCCCCCCAAAAATCCAAAATGATCTTTCCTTCTGAAGCCCTGCCTAGTAACATAGAGCAGATGTTGTTCAAGTGACAGCAGTGTGGTCCTGAGAGCCAGGACTCCCTCCAGGATCAGTGTGGGTTTCTCTGACTGTACAAGGCTTCATGCAGCTTAAATCCAAGATTTTTCCATTCCCCTCCTCTATCACCTAACTACCCTGGGCTACAAACTTGTTTTCAGACAGTGCCTGAGATCTTCTTTTCCTGGCAAGTGCAGCAGTGTCTGTCCAGCACCCAGGGTCCAAAACATGACACAGCAGGGACAGACACAAAAAGAGGGCTGGGGTTTGCCCACTCCCTCAAACAGCACCAGGCTCTGACACGTGCATTTCCACATTTCTAGTTCAAGGCTTGTTCCTTTGCAAGAGAAAATGAGCCTCTTTCATTTCCTTTTCCTCAGTGTAATAACATTGTCTGGGAAAAGGTGTGATTTTCATATCTGACTCATCTCCTGGACTGTCAGTGGTTTCCTTTGTTCCCTATCCCTCATTAGACACCAGGGTAAGAATTGGCTGTTTCTGGGTATGTTGTTGCACTGTCTGAGGGTCTGAAGGGAGAGGCCATTGCAATGCTGTGGCACCACCACATTTAACTCCACGCTCTGCAAACCAAACCCTTGGCAATGGAAGGAGAGGGATAAAGGAGTCAACCTGACTGCAGGAAGAGCCCAGAGATCCCCTCCTACAGGCAGTGCCAACCTGTGGGCTGCTAATGAACCATCACTCACAGCTAAATCACTTTATGCAACAGTCTGCCTGTTGCTCAACCATTTACCCAGGAGAAAGCCCTGAGAGCTCAGTCCTTGTGGTTACAATCCATACACCCCAATTCCCAAGGGACACCAGAGGAAGGACTGGGCAATTTTCCAGTTCCTGAGTCTCCAGGAAGCACATGAGCAGCAGGATCACCTGCCCACAGCCACCTCCAGACCATTGTACTCTGCCACACAGCAGCCACCTCATCCTCTGAAGTCAACCTCAGGGCAGTGCTCTCCGAGTTCACCCTGCTGCTGCTGCCAGATGTGCTACCAGGAGTCACAATTTCATCCTGAAAACTGGGAGAGCTCCAAAACCCCTAATCCTGGAGTTGTTATGCAAGTACAGGATCATTAAGGCTGGAAAAAACCCCTCTCAGATCATCCAGTCCAACCATTAACCCAACACTGATTTAAGTCATTCTCAGAGCTATTACCAAAGAGAGTGTGTCCTCCTTGAAAAGACTGAGCTGAACAAACCTAAAAACACCCCGAGGCAAATAAAAAGATTTTGTAAGTTATTACTCTCTAAAATTCCAATTTTTCTAAGCCAAGATCAATATTTTTCTGAGCACATGGCATCTGCCAACATCACTGCCTGAACCGATCTACCAATTTCCTCTGACAATTTGTGCCCTTATTGCTTTGTCTCCAGCACTGTGACTTTTGTTTTGTGTACAGGTCCAGGGAGTGCAGAGGGAAAGCTGCAGTGATCTGTGAGGGGAGGGGAGAGAGGGGAAGCAGAGGACAAGGAGGTGGCCCCGATGAGGTCAGCGGGAGCCGTGAGGAGGAGCTGACCCAGCAGATCGGAGCACGGGGCGACGCTGATGGACAGCTGGCCCTGCAGAGCCAACCTCAGAGCAGGGATCTTCACTATCCTTCAGGGCTCCTGGGTGGTGTGAGGCAGAACTAACAGGGTGACAAGGACTGCTGTCAGCAGGGATGTGGGAGCAGTGGCAGGGAGGCAGGACAAGGATGGATGGCCCTGAGCGCTGGCCAAGCCGCTGCCGGGAGCTCTCGGATTATTGGAGTGGAAGCCGAGCAGCAGATGAGCCAAACACCCAGTGCTGCAGCCTTCAAGTGCAATGACCTTCTCTCGACACCAACTGGAGCCTGGAAAACGCTCCATGGATATTTTTCTGCCTCACGAAATGCTTTATTGCTTCGAGCAAACACTTCCCGCTCCTCTCGCTCCCCGAGGAGCAAAGATCCAGGAGGAGGGTCGAGGAAGACACACTCCAAAGCCAAGATGGATGTGGCCACCCCCCTGGAGTCAGCCACTAGGAGACACTGTTGTTTTGTTCGAATTTAAGCCAACCCCAGAGCAGGAATTTTTCCAGGAGTCCTTTTTCTATATGGGTGAAACAAAACGTTGATCTGCCGAAAATAAAACTTGTCACCACGAGGATAATTTTGGTCCAGCTTCCTGGCTGGAAGATAACGAAGCTGCAACAAAACTTTAAAAGCACTGAAATGTCCATTTTGACCTTCTAAGAAAAGGAAATTTCAGGCTTTTGGCTTGGGAAGTGGTTGTGCCATGAAATGCAATTTCCTTTCTAGCCAGGAATAGTTAACAAAGCTTGGCAGTAAAATGATTGCACTTCCAGGAGAGTAGTTCTAAACTGGGTTTTATGCCAATTTTTTGGTACATCTTAACAACTCTGACAGGGAAACCATTTGCCCACCCTTGGGCTCCAAACTGCATCAGGGAGAAATTCCCTTTTCAAACTCAGTGAGAGAGAGCACAGCCCCTCATCAAATTTGGGCATCTCCACCATCTCTTGCTGCTGCAAATGTTTGCCAAAATGGGAATTGCTGGAGACAGTCAGCAAAAATAAGCACAGAGAGTGGTTCAACCCACAAGTCCCACCGGCAGGTCCCAGCTAATGTTCAATAAAGGTTCAGGTTTGAGTATCAACTTTATAGATTTCAGATAAAATGCCCATCCCTTGGCTGCAGGAGTAGTTTTCCCACTATTCCAGGGAAGGGGGGATCAATCTGTGAGATTTCAGCATCCTTGAATGTGAGTTTTAAAGTAAGAGCAAGCCTCGACTGCAGGCAAAACACGTCCCACCTCCGCTCACTCTGAAGGCCTTATTTATGCTGCAGAATATTTCAGGGATTCAAAGCTATGCTTTTATTAGGGACAAACCTCAAATGTTTCAGCAGTTCATTCTGAGTTCATATAAACAGACAAAACAAAAAAAAATCCTTTCCTAAATAGTTTAGGTCTGAAAACCTCACAGGACCGGTCTCTTTCTGAGAATCTGATACTCCTGGTTTTAGGAAGGAGCAGCACAACCCCCAGAGCCTTCCTGGAATCCAGAAATTCAATAAAAGAGAAACCCATAATGGCCAAATTATTGATGGCGCCTACAAGCAGAGAATGAAGAACAGGAGTGGGACTTTGCAGCCTCAGATTCTCTTTGTGCAACCGAATTACTGCAGTTCTTCAAGGAAGATGATCTCTTTGTACCTCTTTTCCCTCTTGCCCATCTTCCCCCTCATCTCTTTTGATTGCTGCATCCACAACCACCTATTTTACATAATTTAGGCTCAATCCTCAGCAGGGCACCGTGGCTGGGGCACCTTTTTTGCTCTGAGACTGAGGAGAAATAATCACACCTGGATAAAACTGCAGAAAAGGGCTGTTGGGCACCTCGTCCTTCCTGCTGAATGAACAGGGAAGGAAGTTTCCAGAGTGAAGGATGTGCTTTTTTCCAGAAATCCCCCCCCAAAAGGCCAAGGCAGCTCCTGAGCTGGGAGAGCTGAGGCTGGCAGAGCCAGGAGGGGCAGTAAACAAACCTGGACATTTAGTCCCATAAACATCCTTTGCACTTGGGTCAGTTTTTATTTTTTTCCTCTAGTGCTGAGCCTAAAGCTGTCAGTGGGATTTTGAGCACTTGTTTATGTTGGCTTTTCTGCTTTACCACTTTTAAGCTGAGCCTGCAGAGACTCTGAGCAGGCAGAGCAATGAACTGTCAACCTGCACTTTGCTTCTGGACACTCCAAATTGTCTCTCCTCACCTCACTTTTGAGCAATCACAATTTTCCAACTACCAGGTATTGCAACTCAACAGACTTCACCTGTCTGTAGGGATCATCCCTATTTCACAGAATAAAACCCAAGACATTGCCTTCCTTTCACGTGATGTAATTTCTCTCACTAGGAAAAAGGGGTTGGATGGTGTTTTCCCACGCACATGAGAGCAGTTTGAAGTTATTTATTCTCTTATTTATCCTTTTTGGCCTTGGAAAGGGATCAGGGATTTGAAGCAGGACGCCCCAGCTCCAAGAAGACTGCCCTGATCACAAAGACCTTTGCTATTCTGAGGTGCCACAGCCCCAAATTTAACAGCCAGCCACCACAACCTCCCAGACCACAAGCCCTGCTCAGGAAGGGTTTTATCTGTCCTTAATGTCCCTGCTAACACCGTGACATGGATCAGTTTGTGCTTCCCGAGGAAAAAACACATTTTGCTGAGAGATTTCCAAACGGGCTCTGCTTAAAAGTGGGCTGGAAACAGAAGGAAAGAGAGATCTCCTCCTCCTGATGGATGTTCCCTCTCTGGCTTTGGAATTAAAAATGAGAATTCATTCTCTCAGTCACCTCTACTCTCAGGTTTTATGCCTTCCCCTAAATGGGATCCTTCATGTGGAGCGATAACAGTTTAATTGA